TCCAGTGCTAAAAGTCTAGATCGATCCATTTGTCCCAAGATTCCATCGCAACTTCAACCGGTGACTGAATTTTGTACAATTTTTACTGAGAACATTGGGTTATCAGTAATTTAGTCACCAGTTGGTTTCTGAGAACACAGGGTTATCAAGGTTGCTCAATTAACAAAACTCCTGAAAGTTGTTTTTTCGTCTTTTTCTGGGAATATTTAAGTTTACAATTATTGTGTTTTATTTGTTTTTCACTATTGTACAGGTCATTACTGAGAACATTGGGTTATCAGTGATGGCTTTTTTAGTCACCAGCGTGTTTCTGAGAACACGGTTTAAGGTTAATAATTAATAATATACAGGTCATGGGATGGGAGGGAAATTATTGTTTGAAATCAACAATTTTTGTGGCCGAAGTAGATACCCCATCTTTTGCACAAGGGGACAGTTAATGCATGTTTAAATTGTATTGGTGCTATATTGAACCATTTTGATATTATTAATATATTTTATATTTTAGTATATTTTATTTCCATGTTGGAAAATATTTTGCTGTTTATTTTGCCGGGTATTTGTTATTATTCAATGATTGGTTTATGTAATTTATGAGGCAAATACATGACCATTTCAATTCAAACAAATCCTTTTTCGTATGTGCAAAAGATAGCCAGGGGGATATAAAGGATGTTAAAACGAGTTGCAAATTTCTGCATTGCTTGATTACTTTAATGATCATGCGCTATATCAAATGATAATTCGTATATTAGTTAACAGCTACAAAATACAATAACAAATATGGTTCCTTTTTATCCATTAAACAATTTATTGTCATTTCATGCAGAAAGTTATGGTGTTAAAATGTGTTTATATGACCTAAAATAATCATATAAATATTGTTAGTTCGAGGGTAAAGTGCTACAGGTGATAGGTAATATTTAAATGTTGTTTAAATGTGTATTTTCATAAACCTATTATGCAGATAGGTGTTTATATGGAAGGTCCACCTGGATACAAAATAATAAATAAGATTTTGTGTTTATACAAATAGGTTTACTGAAATCAAATATCCGGTTCTACAAATTTAGGAATATTTGTAGCCATCACGTGTCACGCGAGAATAACCACCTTGAAAGATAACTCCTATTTAGTTCGAGGTGTTAGACAACATTCAATTGAACCTGTGGTATTATTGTCTGCGACATCACTTCGGTGGAAGCGGGCGTTATATGAAGCTATTTCACACAGATACTATTGATCTAAATAATACCAGGGGCCGTGAGTGGTTCCAACTCTATTGGGGGTGGAGTGGGGTGGGGGCTCCGGAGGGGTTCTCTCCTTTAAATGATGCTTTCTCTGGAGTATATCTTGGTGTTTCTAACTTCTGAATATATTTAACGTATATCCATGACGCAAAAACATTAACTAATTTAGTGACCTTTTAAACTACATTCATTTTCAGTTCATCTCTGGAATTGATGCCACAGGGGCTGTAAACACGGATCGCATAACCATTACTGATCTAATATAAGGGCGCAAATTCTTAACATCTGGAAATATCGAAGATGGTGCAAAAAAGGGGTGTTCCCACTTTGCCGGCAGGCTTTGATGTCAAATTTTGCCGCCAATCCAGAGTTAATCCTAGAACAATGGTGTTATAAACTATAGTCCATATCTTTTTTAAGAATTAAACTGTATTGATTTTAACAAATTTAACATTTATCAAATAACATTAAATAATGTACACATATAAAAATGTATTGATTTTAACAAATTCAACATTTATTAAATAACATTAAAAAATTTACACATATAAAAACACCATTCTTTGTGTTTCCAGTAGCTGGACATGTTTTTGTTGAACATTTCCAATGGACGGCATTTGGTCTGCTTGACTTTATTCGGTACTTGTAACCATTGTGCATTAAGTTTCGGCCACCTCGATTATTGGAGATAAAGCGAATATTAACCTGCACGTTGGCCATTTGAAAAATAAATATAATTTCGACACAGATCGACCATCTATTTATATTAATATAGTGAATTGAATTCATGTTTGAAATCATAACGCCGGCATGAACTGTGTTCAAAATGTCATTAATTAGTTGGTTAATAAATTTTATAAAGAGGGGTTTTAATCTCTTAAAAGAGCACACTAACGCTGAACACTAGTGAACAGTTCTTGAGTGACTACTTTTAAACAGAGTATTTTATTTTAGATCAATTTAAGGATTAACAGTCTGCCGGCATGGTGGGAACACACCGCAAAGAATAAAGAATAATTGCACTAAAAACAAACAAATGCTAAACAGATGTTTAGATTTGTTAAATGTATATTAAAAACCAAAATAGAGTTCAGTAACCCCGAAAACCTTTTTAGATATATTTTAAAACATGAAAGAATCCCCATTATGCATTCTAGTTTAATGCCCTTTTAAATCTGAATAAAAATATTGTTTTTTTTTTTAAAAAACCCCAAAAAACAAACCACCATCTGGTTGCTTTTTTGGTGTCGGGAACTAGAACCCGGTAAACTCAGAAGAAAATGTGGATTAATAAAATAAATACGCCATTTTGGACCTGGATTTCGCAAAAAAAATAATTGAGATCAGAATTCAATGAAAAGACATCAAACACCACGTAAAAAACATATTCCAGTCATAACTGATTTAAAATGAAAGATATCGGATTCCATTTTGGCTGTCATTTTGAATTTCTTACATCATGGATTTTTAAAACCATATAAAAGACATAGTAAAAACCATATCTTACGCGATATTGACGGGTTTTATATGGGGACAATATCATTCTATTACCAAACATGGCACCATGCGCAAAATACATTTTTTTTTTATTGGTTTGGCCAAATTTGTTATTTTTTGAACATTTCTCCTCTATAACCACTTTGTTTTGTAAGATTTTAACAAAAATACACTTTTTGTCCCTGGTTAAGTGAGTAAGATGTGGGCTCGCTATTCTGATGAAGGTCGCGGGTTCGCTTCCGGTGTTGGCGGAGAAAGTTCATCGGGATTTTCCGGCGTGGTTTCGCCTTGTCAGTGTTACAGGAGGCATGACAAGGACAGCTGTCTAGTCGTTTTGATGGAACGAAAACCGAGGCTCCGTGTACACTTTTCTGTGCACGTAAAAGATCCCGAAGCAGCTGGAATCTGATGTAAGAGTAGGCAAATTTCTCTCATAGCACACGGTATACCCGTCTTCATTAGCCCAGTCATAGCAGAACAGTAGGACGTTAAACCCCATTTCATTCCTTTATTGTCCAGCCACTGAACAGTTTGATTAAAATACAGATCTATATTTCGTTTAGTTTTTTATATTCTTTCGATGGTCTACAATACATGAAGATCTGACCAGTTGTAGTGGAAGGACGCGTCAGAGGTCATACGAGCGACCTTTGACCCTGTGACGCCATACATTTGATTAACCAATCAGCGTTGATGTCTCTAGTGATTTACCCACAGTTCCGTGCACCCCGCGCCGTAACAGATTGTTTCATTAGCTTAAACGCTCAGATCATCCAAAATACGGGTTATATAACAACTTTCAGATCCTAGTTTAGTAAAAACAAGTAAAACGAAATTTTGAACGATAAAAAACGGAAGGAAATAGGAATTATGTTGATTACGTAATTTTGCCGACCGACTTCGGTCGAATATGAATGAACCAAACTGTACTGGTTTCCCTTTGCAGTTTGTTTGGGGCTACTCCACGTTTGAGGCTAACTGGTCCCGCCTACAACTAGCCCATTTTGAATATTACAGTACAATCAATTATTATATACTCTTCAAAAAAGTAGGGGATATTGAAATGGAAATACCTACGCAGGTTGTGATAATATGATAAATAGTCTTGGACACTTGACATGCTTTGAGAGTATGTTCAAAGATGATTTACTGTTTAGCGTATCTTTGCTTTAGTGTGTTACGTTTAATTTGCGCGATGAGACGTCGTCAACATGATGAACGTCTACATGCTATTGGCATGCTTCAAATGGGTTCTACACAACGAGCAGTAGCCAACATAATGTGTCACAGTCTGTGATCAGTAGACAGTGGAACCGGTACCAACAAACACATAATGTTGATGATAGACCTCGTTCAGGTCGCCCTAGAGCCACCACACAAGCCCAGGATCGATACATTCGTACACAGGTTCTGCGAAATCGAGAATACACGGCCAATCAGCTTTCTGTAAACTTATACCAAGTTACACCCCAAACTATTACAAATCGGCTACATGCAGCCCATTTGCATGCGCGACGACCGCGTGTTGTTCCTCCATTAACTCGCCAGCACATGGCAAACAGGCGTCAATGGTGTAGGCAGCGTAGAAATTGGGGTAATCCTCGATGGGCGCGTGCAATCTTCTCAGATGAGTCCAGATTTACTTTGGATTTCGACGATAGGCGTGCTCGCGTTTGGATGTGTGTAAATGAGCGTCATGCTAACGTTAACAAATCGCACTATGTTAAGTATCCTACAACAACAATAATACAATTATTGTTCCACAATATACAATTGTATGAGGGTACGGTTTTGTTACAGTAAGGACACTTAATGGTTACTGTAAGGAACTTGATTCCTTTTTGTCATATCTGTATCATTTGCTTGATAAAGACGAGAGAATTCTCGTCGAAACGTCGCTTAGTATCAAACTCAGTAATTGTGTATCCATCAAACTGTGCGGTATATCATATGTTCAATTACTAAATATCAATCAAAGAAGACTAACATGTCAACTAGAAGGTGACCCTACAGGGAATTACAGGCTTTTAAGGGCAGCGGACATTTTGCCGGGCAGTTTCGGTTCGATTTTCACGAAATTTGAACTCAAAAGTAATCATGGTGTGACTTTGATATAACTGAACGGTTACAAATTAAGGATACCACCCAAACGTGACAAGTTCTGAAACCTGTTTGATCTGACTCTAGAATTTGATCTAAAATTTGATATTTTAATTTTATCTGTAAAACCTGTTAACCATAGATCAAGAAGAATCAATTAATAACACTTTTATTATTCACATAAAAATTAGGTACATTGAAAATATTTCTAGTACAATTGATGTATTTTGAGGTTTCATTGAAATATTAAACATTATCAGGAGAAGCGTCAGTGGGGCTGACTATATAATTTCTCTCCTGAGCAAAAGAGCGTGGTCCTCCTGTGAACATACTGGAAAGCATGCAATAGAAACCTCGGCGGTTTGAAATCGAAAAATGGTAGGCGATAACATTGCTGTCAAGGAACAATTCTGCTCCCTAACCTTGCAAATGTTACAATATGATAGTCTCACAATTTCATGGCATCCGCGCCATTTTACGTCTTCCAGAATAAAACATAATACTACATATAGAAACCTGGACTTTGTCTATAATTTTTCAAACCAGACATTTGATGATAGGACTGACATAAGGTTTAACGTTCTATTGTTCTGCTAATGAAGATATGATATGTCATTCAAGTCTAAATATCTAATTTAAAATAAGAAACGGAATGGGGTTTTGTGGGTTGAAATAGGACAGGAAACTTATGCTAAAATATTTCAAGAGACCAGCGTTTAGATTGCACTCATGCTTCTTTAATTAAGAGAAAAGTACTGCGAATATGATTGCATGGTTCCAATCTTAAACAATTTAAAGGAGCCACACAAATTTTCCGGGGGGAGACCCCCGTACCGCCAGGGCTGCGCCAGCAAGCTGGCTACGGGCCTGGATGGACCACAATTCTGTATACCTACAGTACTTGATCAACATGGCTACAACATTACACGTAATCAGTTGAACAAATTTATAGATGATTTTCTAAACAGCATGACAATTTGAGCTGAAAAGTAAATGGACCATTTCTTAACATTTAGATATTTAAATTTAATACATAAAATCTGTGACAGCTCAGTAATTAATTTAATATAAAATCTGTGACAGCTCAGTAATTAATTTAATATAAAATCTGTGACAGCTCAGTAATTAATTTAATATAAAATCTGTGACAGCCACATAATCTGTGACAACACCATACAGCCACATATTCTTTTGAATATGTTATTGAATATGCATGCCAATACCCTTTTAATAAAATGGATTGAAAATTTCCTAATAGACCGACCGCAAAATGTTAAAGTCAACGAGTGCTATTCAAATATTATTAAGACAAACACGGGGGCACCTCAGGGATGTTTTCTGTCTCACTATCAAATTTGTAGACGATGCAGCAATTGTTAGTTCACTATACGACGCTAAATCTGACACTCATTACAGATGTGATGTTGCCAATTTTGCAGAATGATTTTAGGGTTAATAAATCATATATATGTCCCTTAACAATGGAAGACAAAACTATACAAATATCTAGGTACTATCATTGGTGTCAAATTATCATGGAACCAAAACACAAACGCAGTGTACAAAAAGTGTCAACAACTCCTCTATTTCATGCCCAAACTGAGATCTTTTCACGTTAACCAAACCATAATTTCACTGTTTTACACTTCATTTATACAAAGCATTCTTTGTTTTTCTATCCAGTGTTGGTACCCTTTCCTCACCGTACAAAACAAAGCTAAGTTAAACAAAATTGTTAACACGGTGTTAAGGCGGAGAGGTGTGACGACTTCTGTTAAGAAAGGATTATAGAGTACAATTTTAAAAGTACGGTCATCTGGTTAACGGTTAACTATGTTAATGAGTAAAATATGTGCTCAAAACTTTTATCAATATTATATCAATTATATAATTACAACAACAGTTACAGATTGATCGTATATTTAATATGAATATATGTCAGTAATTACAACAACAGTTACAGTTTGGTCGTATATTTAATATGAATATATATGTAACTAATTACAACAACAGTTACAGTTTGTTGTATTCTTTGATATTTGTTGTTTCAGTTTTTCTTGTTCTAACTTGATCCGTTCTGTGTCGGCAAGTAGCATTCTTTTCTTGACGTCATCAACTGAAAAATAAGAAAAACGCAATAATTAGATTTTTTTTTAAACCGACTTATTAAATGTTGTTTTATTTCAACACAGCTTATCTGTACCAGAATTTATATATTTGTTTTAAAAAACTGTATTTTAACAAATTGTCGTACATTTACAATATTCCTTGATAATTAGAATTCAAAACAAGAGTGGGTCGTAGCGACGTTGTCCTGTCAAAATAGTTACAAAACATTGGGTATATGCATAGTAATACATATGCCAAGTACCAATTGATTGACTGAATGTAGTTATATTTATGTATGTATTATATTGTAAATAGTGTACACATTTCTTTTGTCTTATTTCTCTCATGTTAAAATTTTGGGGTGAGGGATTATTTCTCAATCCTGAAATAAAATAAAATAATTTTTTTTAAAAAAAACAATATGCCACGTTCCAAAATGATCTTTTGGGGCATGCACCAAAATCGATAGTTGCCGCCCTTAGGCTATACTGAACACATATGCCAAGTTCCAAGATGGTCTATTCAGAATTGTGGCCTGTATAATTTAAGATAAACAGGAAAACTGGGTGTGGCTCCTCCTTGGGATTTGGCACATACACCAAAATCCATAGTGTGTCAGGTTCCAAGACGATCCATTAGGAATTGCTTTATGTAGGCAAGACACATAAAGATGGGTGTGACTCTGCCCCTGGGGGCTGGGCATTCACCCAAAACAATAGGGATCATCCTAGGGTATAATAAATAGGTATGCAAAGTTTCAAGAGGATCTGTTTATGTAATATTATATATACTGTAGAGCTTATTTAATTTCTATAAATGATGTTCTGTTTAATATACTATTCAAAAAAAGTAGGGGATATTTGATTTTTAAGTGTTATTAAAGTCACCTAATGAAACTGACGAAGAAAGAAATGACAAAATGAAATGAAGTTCACATTCATCGATTTATTCCAAATGATCGTTAGACTAAGTAAGGCACAGACTGACCATTATAAGGGTAAAATGATACCCGGGGTCAAACAGCAAAGTTACCACAGCATCACAACCAAGTCAGTAACGGGTAAATCCTCCTCTGTTTGCCAAACAAGCATTGATCCGACGTGGCATACTCCTAATGAGACGTCTAAGGTCATTTTGGTCCAGATTGTCCCATTCCTGTTGCAACGCAGCAGCAAGTTCTTGGACATTGGCAGGACGTTGTTGACGTTGACGTAACCTCTGTCCAAGCATGTCCCAGACATGCTCGATGGGGGAGAGGTCGGGACTCAGTGCTGGCCAAGGTAATGTGGTGATGTTCTGTTGTTGGAGGTAACCTGTAACGATCCTGGCCCTGTGACATCTTGCGTTGTCATCCTGGAAGATGAAACGGCGGCCATGACGTCGTGCGAACGGCACAACATGGACTGCCAAGATGTTGTCCCGGTAGTACTGGCCTGTAACACGCCCTGCAACAACATGTAAAGCCGTTCTTCCAGCAACAGTGATGCCTCCCCACACCATAACAGAACCACCCCCAAATCGATCATGTCTGATGACGTTAACGTCTTGGAAGCGCTCGTTTCGACGACGCCACACCCTCCTACGTCTGTCCAAAAAATCAACAGTGAACCTTGACTCATCTGAAAACATCACATTGCTCCAGCGTCGATTATCCCAGTGTTGACGATCCCTACACCAACGACGTCTTGCCTGAATGTGATGATCTCTCAAACAAGGGATCACGCGAGGACGTCGGGCGCGAAGGTGACCCCTATGCAGTCGATTCCGAATCGTCTGGCCACTCACTCTCACACCAGTGTCTGTTTGAAGACGAGCGCTGATCTGATTTGCTGTGATGACACGATTTCTCAAGGCCAAGGTACGGATAAATCGATCCTGGGCTTGAGTTGTCGCCCTTGGTCGACCTGAGCGTGGTCTGTCCTGTACAGATTGTGTATCACGGTATCTGGACCATAGCCTGCTTATGACAGACTGAGAAACATTCATCGTCCGCGCCACAACCGCCTGTGTTGTGCCGATCTGTAGCATGCCAAGTGCACGTAACCTTTCATTTTAGGTAAGCCGACGCATATCAAAATTTGTTTTCTGGTCACTAAAACAATTAAACTGATGTTTCCACCCTGGAATTCAATGCCACAATGAATTGTGCGTTTGGGCGTCACATGTAACTGGAAATGTTTCTTCTGTTAGGTTCTATAGTGACTTTTTTCGTAGTCATTTGCATATTTTAGTATTATGCCCCCAAAATCAAATATCCCCTACTTTTTTTGAATAGTATATATTGGAGTCGTTAGCTACAAGTGACTAATCCACTGATAGTCCTGTCGCTATCCATTTCTGGAGTGGGTTGCTATGGTCCAGGCATCTAATGCACGGATTAGTCCAATTAAATAGAATAACGTTGACGTAAAACGGTGCCCATACGAAACACCCCAAAACGGTAATTGCCCTGCCCTAATAGCTGACGCAGCTATACTTTTGTAGATATTATACTAATTGGGTGTGGCTTTATCCCTCGGATTCAAGCATGCACCAAAAATCACAGAGGTCATCCTTATGGTATAAGGAATAAGTATGCACAGTTTCGAGACAAGTGACGTCATTTTACCATTATGACGATTGAAGCCATGCAGTGACGCCATATTGGATAACCCAAAACATTAAAAATAATTGGTTGTGTGGAGTAAATATAAAACTTCTTTTCTTTTAAAACAAAATAACGTAATACCTAATTATCCCAGAGAGAATTTGTTTTACGCAGTGAAAGGCAACACATATACAGATATAAATAATAAATTATTAAGTTATAATAATAAATCATGTAATTTCTATGGAGTTTATAGAATTAGCCTATGTACAACAGGTTGTATAGGTTTATGAAAATTTAATTGGTTTCACACAATGAAAGGCAACACATATACAGTTGAAGTAAATAACGTTATAGAATATAAAATATTAGCTCAAACCGAGTGGCCACGGATTGTAAAGATTTATGAAATTGTAAATACACATCAACGGCCTATATTTCATATCTAATAAAATGAAATAAATGATTACTATATTAAGATAACGTGTTATTAGAATATTGTGTAAGAGAGGTTATACCATTGGCTTCACCAGAGGCGTGCTGGGTGGGTAGGCAGGGTAGTGATGTTTTCAAAAACAAAACAAAATGGAAATTGTTCACAATACTCGAAATTTCCAACCAGAGTATAGGGGTGGATATGGCCATGCGCACTCTGTTCTGAAAAAGCCCTCTACATGTATGTACATGCACCGTTAATCAGCCCTCCTTGTTCGTTGGCTTTAGTCCTCAGTGAGACTGGAAACCAGTTAACTAATTTCTTCTCATTTACATTTCGATATTAAAACGTTTGCAACCATTTATGATCACAAGTCTGCATTTATCCACGGATTAAAATTGTCAGGGGGCGGACTGGGTAGCTCTATGGACTCCGACCAACTGGTTTCGTTCGACGAGAAAACGAAACTAGTTTGATTCACTATTCCTTAACCTCACTCATATAGATCGTGTTTCTCCTAAGATTAAGGGCATTATTTTTTTCAGTGGATACAAAGATAATTTTAGTTAGTTTTCTTTAAAACATATATGTCATATTATGTTTTTTAAGTCTAGCAGTCCGACACGCCTCTGATAACAGATGAGTAGTAACTCTACATGTTGCCCTGGGTCAAAACGTGTAGGATTGTGGCACACATGGCTGGAGAAAATGACGGAGACAAATGTGGGAGATTTTTTATAGCCATTTCCACCAAGCCCAGATGAAGCGGGCTTTTGACCAGACTGCCAGTCAAGAGCCCCAATTTTATGTGAGCCCCCCCCCCCAATAGTTTTAAAAAATAATTTATGATTTGATGTATTATGTTGTGCCAAATAAATCTATCAACCATACTACCTATCTTAAGGACTTAATCATAATCCCTCAACCAATGGTAAAGGTATATATTGTATGTCATGGCTCAGATATAGGGCATTTAAGCATGTGCCGCCTCCGCCTCCCACTAAAGTGCCCTAAATGTGGTCTGTCTACCCTCGTAGGCCCCAGCACGCCTCTGGGCTTTATTATTTATTTATTACATAAAATGGAGAATTTATGTGACGTTTCACCCATGGCAAATTAAAGCAATCCGTTTTTTAAAGAAAAATATTAAATTACATTTGTTTCAATTAAAAACTGAGTGCGATTCCTAAGCTGCACGAATCATCGGCAAACTATTATGTGAAAGTTGAATCTTTAATATGAATACTAGTCCAAAATAACAAGACAGTCGGTGGATATGTTAGGGCTGTTAATTCAGTCTGTAAATACAGCAAACTGAAGGTGCTCAAATATAACAGATTGGTCAAGAGGTAATGGGATTTCGGGCAGTTTATTTTATTGTCTAAAAGGAAAAGTGATTTTTTTCACAAGAAATATTATATTTCTTATTTTTTTTTCATATTGTCTGTCTACCCGGAACAGCCCGGCATATTGTCAAAATAATTAGACAGGCACTTTTTTTGGTTAACTAATATGGCGTCGATGCTTAACCAATATGACGTCATGCCACCTCCACGTCATCACCAACAACTAATAACAACAAGTAAACACATCACGTTATCAAAATTAACAATAACAAGAGGTACCACGTCTTCATGAAAGAGGAAATATAATAATTTCTTGCACTGTAATATTTACTTACGTGTTAAGTAGATAGTCTTAATGGCACTATACAGTTCTGAGTTATCAACCATGCATCTGATTTTCAGTCCATCATCCTCCATACCTACTTCATGCTGCAATGTACTTCCAGTATTATATCCGCATTGAGTCGATGTGTGTTGATCAACCTGACTTTTTCTTATATTTTCTGTCCTTACGTCATATGTTGTATCATGGACCTTATAAAATTTAACGTCCGTGAGTGAATCACCAGATGGCTTGAATTCCCAGGTCCATGTTGGTTCAGGATTTTCAACACCTGTTTGACAGGTAATCTCAATCTTTTCACCAACATCATACTTCGGCTTTTCATGAAATATCTTCATTTCTACCTTACCAGGATTACCTATAAAATATATTAAATGTTAGTACAATGCCATCAAGATTAATACGTTTTGTGTTATTCTTTTTTCTCCTGAAATTGATATATATTAAGGCCAAATTGTATTTATATTTTGGTTCGAAAGCAATAAATTCATATTCACCGTTATTTTTGAAACAATCTCTTTAATATTTACACATGTAAAACATTACTAATTATTGTAAAAGTCACACCCATACTGTCACTGACACACCCATTCTGTCAATAGCACATCCACACTATCACTGGCACACCCACACTGTCACTGGCACAAAAATCATACCCAACACAACTTATACTACATATAATCCACACCCACACAACGCACAGATAAATGCTGTATATCCCAAAGATAGCCACACACAGTCGGTGAAAATCTCCCCCCCCCCCCCCACACACACACACACAACACCGATTATCAGTAGGGTTCAATCGCTGTGCTTCTTGTCAAATACTGCAGCCTCACTCGGGGTGGGATGATTTGCCAAATTCTACCCACTACTACGCATTACTACTAAATACTAACTAAATAATACCATTACATACTAACTAAACAGTTCAAAATACTACCAAACATTAAGTAAATACTAAGTAAATACTAACTAAATACTACCCAATACAATAGTCTTGTCTGTTGTTTTATAAATACTTTATCCTTATGTGATATGAGAGACGAATGGCAGTCGTGTGGAACAAATTAAAATGAAATAAAATGGGGTTTAACTTTTGAACACTGACTTGTCTAATACAGACGGAGTGGAACGAACTGGTAAATAACCCTTTGAAGGGTGGTAACTGAAGTTTATTTTATAAGTAGATTAATGTTATGTTTAATGTATCGTATGTACAAATATTTCAGTTTTATTGCTCTTTATTTCAAGCAAAGATAAAATGAAAGTTACATACATGTATATCTTCGAAACATGATACGAATCTTTAAAACACCACTTTTATTTTTCTGTAGTCGTAAGGCTGAGGAAGTGGGTGTTTTATAACAGACAATGTGCGTTTAAAAATTTTGAGGCCATTAATTTTCTAAATATTACATAAACCGAGCTAAAATAATAGCCTATTTTAAAACACTGTTGTAAAATCGTTTCAGTATTACGTTATCGGTGGTATTTAACATAGCCGATATCTAAATATTCGATTATTTTAAACATAGAAAGAGAATGCCAACATTATACATATAAAATACTTACTTTGAACTGTCACAGTCTTAGAGTCTTTCAAATAAACTGGATGAGATGATGTAGCAGTTTCTCCAGTTGTTTCACACGTATATTCAGCAGTATCGTGACAGTCGGGATTATTTATGTCAACTTGTACGTATTTGTCGATTAGTTGGGGGGCGTTTAACAAAAACAATATTTTATATTTAGGTTTTGTTATTCCTGCTCCTGGAGTATACGACCCAGTCGAATCAACTTTCACCAACAGCTTTTTTGGTGATACCATACTTTGTTTATATATCTCCATAGTGCGTAGTTTAGTATAACTTGAATTAGAATCAGGTGAACACTGTAATGCTAAATAATATGTAGAACCTGCCTGTATATTCTGGGATGGTTGTATTGTGAGTTTAGCAGCCTTGACATCTGAAAATATATATCAACTACAGTAATAGGTGTGAAATTATTAGAACACGTGTGTATATTCTGTGAAGGTGTTACATCTGGAAGAGATGATTTTATATTTGTATAACGTATATACAAATTAATTTAACTTTTCCCAGACCATGTTATAATCACGAAATGTTATTAAAATGACATTAAAATCCCATTAACCTTTAATGATTAGTTAGAGGAGAGAGAGAGAGGGGGAGAGAAAACGAGAGAGAGAGAGAGAGAGAGAGAGAGAGAGAGACAGACAGACAGAGACAGGGACATACATACACAGACACAGAGAGACAGAGATGGGGTTTAAAGTCCAGTCGACACAAACTAAGTCATTGTCGGACTATTGCATGGTTCAATTTTATTTCAATAATTCGCTTCCGCATGTGGGTGATTTAGCAGTGGGAGGAAATCGGACGCCACTTCTCCTTGTCAGTACAACCGGGAAATCGAAACCATGCCAGTTGACTCAATGACAGACCTTATGATACAGCGCGCACGTGCTAATCATTCGGCCAACCAATTCCCCAGATGAGTTACCAGGGTTGAACTTATTAAACTCTAATCCTATGGTAGCTGGTTGCCGTGGTAACTCAGTGAGTAACCTGGAGGTTCCATGTTCGATTCGGGACTTGGCCGGGAAAGTTTATTGGGATTTTCCCGCGGTGTTGTCGTGGGCCTGGCAAGAGACAACTATCTAGTCGTTTGGATAGGAAGAAAAACACATTAGCGTGCACGTAAAAGAACCCCTAACAGTTGGAATTCGATATAAGAGTAGATCGTAGCGCCGCTGTGGGAGTAAAATTTCCATTATAGCACACTATTAGCCCATGGAACTAATTAAACAATAAACCAATGGATGCAATCTTACCTTGAATTACAGCAGCATATATCAGTGCCATTAACAAAATACTTTTCCCGTCCATTATGTTGTATAATATCCACTGTTACACCTGTTGTTCTATAGTCTGTATGATTTACTTCTGTATGTATATATTCGTTTTATAATATACCCCTAACTGGCAGTAAACCTATATCCAATGTTACAGCTGTTGTCATATAGCTTATCTAGCACAGTGTACGTCTTGCATGAACGGCATTATATGTATATTATAAAGCCCTATCACACCAAACATCTTCTTTAAAACACCCCTACCCAATCCTAGAAAATCATCGTAAAACGAGTTGTGATCGGGTTAAAATATGTAAATAATGTCTATAATATGTAAATAATGTCTATAGTTCGTTCTTAAACAGTCCACAATACATCTATTTCGTCTGTACTAGTAACAATATATGATATACAATACGATAAAAAAAACAATCACCCATCCCCTCGAAATAAAACAGAATAAGTAAAGACTGGCTAATTGATGCTCGACCACGTAACCTTGTAACATGTTTCTAATATTCCCGTTCATAGTACGACAATACCTTTCATAGTACGTCCATCTTGTTTGAAGTACGTTGCCCCTCAGTCTAATTGCAGTTACTACTACGTTCACTCCACTCGCACACAGTTTGCGCCCGTTTGGCGACATTTTCCAGAACGTAGTGAGAACTAGTTTGGTGTGATGGGAGCTTGATCAACAGGCAGTGTGAAGGTCTATATCTGTAGTTATCAAGCCTCAATGATCTAGTTTAAATATATTTACTAGTTCGTTCCACTCCGCGTATAGTTATGGCGGGGTATCAGGTTCAAAATGCGATCTGCAGTAGAAAGTGGAAAATAAATATCAAAAGAGAAAATTCTTATCCAAAATGGACATTTTCGTGTGGGAAACATATACCGCTCGTGCTTTTCAACCTAATGCGTCCACCTTGTCAACTTTAAGTAGTAAATATTCTACTTTCAACAACAGAATTTCTACTTTCAACAACAGAATTTTCAACAACAGAATTTCTACTTTCAATAATCTACTTTTGACATTCGACTTTCAACTTCAGATTTTCTACTCGAGATTTTCTGCTCGAGATTTTCTCCATGCATATTACGGAAATAAATTTGATCACGTGACTATTCTGCATGTCATTAAAATACGGTATTTTTTCCATAAACGATCCAGGGAAAGATAACTCTAGTTGTAAGACTAAGATAAGATAAGATTTTATTGTACCGAAACATTCATTAATAAGGACAGCATACAATTTTACCATGTACATAAATAACGATCAATAGCAACATCACAAATGATGTATATATACATTTACAAATAAAAGAAATGATATTTTTTAATCTAGCCTACATTTACTAACAAGACAAACAGTAAATACATTTCATTTACCTCAAAAAGGCCAATAAATGACCATAAATATACAAGTGTATTTTTAAGTAATCAAACAACAATGAAAAGGGGAGGACAGTTCGACTATGACCACAGTACCCAGTTATAAAGTGATAAAATGTGCTCTGTAAAGATTAAGCATAACAATACCCTACTAGAATCAGTGATACAGAAAACATCGTTTTATTATTAGACTTAGATAAATCGCGTATTTATAATACAGCTAATATGTTAGAGAGTCGTCAGTTCTGTGATTTTTTAGAAATACATCATTGCATTGATGCCATTTACGGCCTTTTATCAGAAATAATGGTATTAGATATTAAGAATGCGTTTGCAAGAGAACCATGCAGGGACCGGGACATGGTGGGTGACCGATTTTCACCATTTTTTTTTATGTATGCTGAGTAACCCCTCCAAACCACACTGCTACAATTTTAGATCAGTCGAACCATTTTAAGAGCGTAGAAAAAAATTTGAAATTATAAGACCGAAAAAAGCCCAAAAATCATCATTTTCAGGCCACTTTTCAATTATTTCGCACAACTAAACTACGGCGAGTAGATTAATGGAACTTTATAGCGTAGCCGATATGGTTCGTGAGTATACATTCTGAAAGTTTGATGGATTTTTATTTAGCGGTTTTTGGTATAGGGACTTATTGCTGCAAGGTACCAAAATAGCTCAATTTAGGTATGTCATTTTATTCTATCTATATCTCACCCACTGCGGGTTTAAGTATTTTTTTGGAATGTTGATTGAAAAGGCAATGATCTATAGTATTAAGACCAAGAAAAAAATTGGGTGGCACTCGACCCGTTTAGTAGTAAATAATTTCCATTTTTATACAAAAATAACGATTTGCAACAAAAATGACGAAAAATAAACCGCTTTATTTACAAACTGAAAAGTGTAACATGGCACCTGAAACCAAATTAACGTGGTTTCCAGTTCCATTAAGAGCAAGCCATAATAAAAATAGAAATAAACAAATAAATATAAATGCAGATTATATACTTTCATCAAAAAATTCAAGTTTAAAAAATCTATCTATCTATCCAATAAGTATCTAATCACGAAAACTGAGCTCGCAATTACACCGTTAATTTACTGTAAATGCCAAAAGAGCTGTTCTTGGTCAATATATAAATCGTGCTGAATCGGGAAGATGGGGGGTCGGCAGATCGAGTTCATCTCGGGGGGATTTTATTGACTCCCCCTGACTACTTCACAGCCAGAAGGGCATATTTCAAAATTTTACCGTTATTGAGAAACAGCCTCTGGGTGATTTTTGGCCAATTTTGCCATTTTTCAGGTCATTTTTGGTCAATTTTCAGCCACTTATTGTGGCGAGTCTAGGGTTTGGATGGAAATGGTGGTGATTGGTGATGTTAGTTGGGGTCTTCCTGTGCCCCTGTGTGAAGACCATAAAGTCGCATCTATTCTCTGGAAGTAATGATCAGCAAAATTGTAACATATGGCGACTAAAACAGAAAATATACACCTGCGAAGATTAGCTCTATTTTCTATGATGTGGGGGTAGGTCAAAATATCGAAATGGTTTTATGCACAGCTCGACACCCTCTATCCATATAAAAAATTAAATATCTGTCACCTCTCTTCAATCAATGCGAAATCATAAGTCAAAGTTGGTGAATTTTCCCTATTGTAAATCTCTTATTCTCTAGGAAATGGCCAACCACTTTCATTCAGGGTAAGCCAGCTCTCTCCGTTTCTTCACCAAATCATTCGCCGCGCTCACTGGTAGCAGCTTGAAACCTCCTTGAGCAAAAATAGTCTTCTTGGTGAGGCTTGGTATCCAATCCAAGATGGCTGTGCCCGAAAGCGCACAAAATTGCATTTTTTTCTCATTTTTGGCAATTAAATGTGGAAATGGGCTGTCAAACGAACTAAGTTCCTACACCGCATCAGGGTAGTTCCTAAAATAAATAATATGGCATAGGGTCAAAACTTCAACTTCATCATATGATCATTTTCGGAGCCCAAAATGGATCTTGCTGAGCCTTTTAAAACTGAATTTGTACATGAAGACATTTCGTTCAGGGGCCACCTCTCAAAACATTCTTAATATCAACCCCAACGTATATGGGCAATTGAAAATTCTATTGTATCGAGTCTATGGATGGATCGGCTGGAAACTGGGACCAGGCCAGTTAATCAATCGTAGACTTGATTTCAGAAAATTTTACAAATTTTGCAAATACTTAGAAAATAAGTTTAGTAAATTATTTTATGTGGTTTGGTTGTTTCAGGTTACTGTTGGAACTGATGACATCTCCCCCACTGCTACATATTCTGCAGCCACTGGTAGTGCTGCTTACATCCATCACCATTCTACTGCTACTACGTCATCATTACCTGATCTAGGCCTATTATTGGTAGTTCTAAGCCATTTCTGTCACTGGTGTCGCTACCAATAGCTGTTACAGGAGGAGGCTGTATGTCAGTTCCGCTACCAATAGCTGTTACAGAAGGAGGAAGCAGTGTGGCAGTTCCACTACCCATAGCTGCAGACGACGTAGAAGCAGTAGATTGATGATGAATGTAAGCAGCACTACCAGTAGCTGCAGATGATGTAGCAGTGGGGGGGGGGGATGTCATCAGTTCCAACAGTAACCTGAAACAACCAAACCACATAAAATAATTTACTAAAATTATTTTCTATTTTAGTATTTGCAGGGGTCCCTGTTAGCAACCAGTCCATCAACAATATTTTGAGAGGTGGCCCCTGATAGAAATGTCCATCATATACAAATTCAGTTTTAAAGGGACTGGCCAGATCTATTTTGGGCTCTGAAAAAGATACTATGATGAAGTTGAATTTTTGACCCTATGTCATATCATTTATTTGAAGAACTAACCTGAGGCGGTGTAGGAACTTGACTCTTTTGACAGCCCATTTCCTCATTATGGGCAGCATATTGTTTACATCCATTTGGAATATTCCATTTGAGACCCAGGCGGTAGCGACTAGCAGCACATATCACCTTTCCATCTAAAATCGACGAATTAAGATCAAAAATCCCACTTCGTCAAGAAATCGGCCCCCATTCGGTTCTCAATTCACTTTTTGCTATGTAATGTGCTTAAGGATGGGCCTTAATGTCCTTAGTACACTCTTTCAGTCTATGAAGTCATTTTATTGCTCACATCCGGGATATGTACCACATTCTATGGCCAAAAATGAAGAAAAAACACAATTTTCTGCGGTCTCGGGCCCGGCCATCATGGATTGGATACCAATCCTCATCAAAGAGTTTAGTTTTGCTCGAGCGGGTTTCAAGCTGCTACCAGCGAGCGCGGGCGAATGATTTGGTGAAGAAATGGAGAAAGATGGCTTTTCCAGAATGAAAGTAGTTGGCCATTTCATACAGAATCGGATATTTCCAATAGGGAAAATTCACCAACTTTGACTTATGATTTCGCATTGATTGAAGAGAGGTGACAGATATTTAATTTTTTATATGGATAGAGGGTGTCGAGCTGTGCATAAAACCATTTCGATATTTTGACCTACCCCCACATCATAGAAAATAGAGCTAATCTTCGCAGGTGTATATTTTCTGTTATAGTCGCCATATGTTACAATTTTGCTGATCATTACTCCCAGAGAATAGATGCGACTTTATGGTCTTCACACAGGGGCATAGGAAGACCCCCACTAACATCACCAATCACCACCATTTCCATCCAAACCCTAGACTCGCTACAATAGGTGGCTAAAAATTGACCAAAAATGATCTGAAAAATGGCAAAATTGGCCAAAAATCACCCAGAGGCTGTTTCTCAATAACGGTGAAATTTTGAGATCGGCCCTCCTGGCTGTGAAGTAGTGTTGAGGAGTCCATAAAATCCCCCTCGAGATGAACTTGATCTGCCGACCCCCACCTTCCCACCTTCTGCATGGTTTTCTCGTGGAATGACTCTTGATCTCTCTTGACTATTTTTCAACACGTTATTAATTCGGCAATAGAACCCCATGATTTAGTAGAAGGATGATGCATTTTTGAAAAGCAAATCTTAAAAATTAAATAGTGTACTAGTCATATATATCTGTCTATACTTGACAAACGAACCAAGCGATATTTCAAAAAGACAAAAAACAAATTGTGTATGAGCGTAAGGTCACTATTTTAGCATACCCCCCGCAGTGTTTCGTTTAATTATTACGAATCACAATTACCAGTACAACAACTGACTTCCATTTTTCAGCCAAATTAATGTCAAATAAAGGGTACGATGGAGGTATTTGTACGGGAGGCCCTTTCAGAAGGACCTTGGTTCGACGTGACCCCGGTCGTTTTTACCTGAAATTGATTGTGCCACAGAAAGCTTATACAATTTGCTACCAGATCGCGCCATTAACTGTTGTTCGTAGAAAAAGTGACATAGATTTTTCTTCCCCGGGGCTCTTCATATGATATTGCTTAATAAATCAAGACATATATTGTATATTTTATAAATGCATATAATAGTTGTAGATGGTGATAAAGGTTATAATATTCAAATACCTGGGTTTATTTACAAGAACGTTTTACCAATATCATATCACAAAAAATATACTTTTTGTGCCAGCTTTTCGGTCGTGAGATTTTGTTGTTGTTTTTGACGACATTATAACGGCAGAGGCCACGGAGTGAGCGTGTGTATCAAATGAGCAGGGGACCGGTTTTGTGTGTACACCACACAATTGGAGTTTATACTTGAAATTCAAGACTTAAAATAAAACCCAAAACCCCCACGATTTTACAACCCGAAGCTACAATTAATACTATCTTGGATAACGGTTTGTATTCATTTCATATTATGAATAATATTTTGTTCATATCTAAATTCACATATCTTTATACGAAATGGAGCCGAAAATAAAAGTTGATAGCAATTTAGGAAGACATTTTGATTGCCTGTTTAAATTTACACCATCTTGGCTAAGTTTTTGGCTAGAAACTAAACTCATGAACCTCAAAACCCTTACATAAGACATATTACAAGCCATACCCAATGGAAACAAATGACGATTAAACAAAATTCCGCCATTTTGGATTTCATTTTGAATGTCTGCCGTCATGGATTACCGAAATTGATTTTTTAGATCAGAATTGAACCCAGCGACATCGACAACCACGTAAATGATGTGTTTAACTTGAAATCTGCCAGTTTTGAGTCCATTTTGAATTGCTGCCATGTTGGATTTTCGAAATTTATCTTTCAATTTAGAGACATCGAAAACCATATAATAGACATAGTAAAGGTCATACCTAACGATATTTTTGCTGGTTTTATGGAGAAAATACTATTTTATTACGATTAATTCCGCCATTTTGGCGACAATCTCTACCATCATGGATTCTCTAAACTCATGTTACAAGTCATATCAACAGGAATAAACGACGATTAACTTAAAATCCGCCATTTTGTATTCCAATTTTGCTGCCATTGACACAATTTAGATTTTTATACCTGATCTGAGATCTTCAATAAGAAACAAAACACGTGATTCGGTGAGGCTTAATGACCGCTTCAACCTAATTTGGGTTTTCTTCTTCTACGAGTGTTTAACGTCCGCTTCCACCGGTGCTGATATAAAAGATGTCTTATTTCATTATACTTAGTGGGAGGAAACCGGAGAACCCGGGTTAAACCCACGAGGTAGAGAAGGCGCCCCTATCCCCAAGCCACATACGCTCACACCAGGTATCGAAACCACGACGCGCTAGACCACTTGGTCATCCCAACCCCCTGTTTAACTTTTTTATTTATCTATCCAATAAAAAGACGCCGTTTTATTTCTTCATCCAATGAAAAAAGATTAGTTTACTGTTCAATAAAGGAACGTTATTTTATTTATCCAATGGAAGAACATTATTTTATCTATCCAATAGAAGTACATTATTTTACTGTCCAATGAAATGCGACTATTTCATTTTATCCGATGAGTTTGGTGCCAGACTTATAATAGTAACAGAAGTGTAGTTTGTGGTCATGACGACCGCCATCATCGTAGGGATGGGCGCCACCAGCTTTATCATGGTTGAACCAATTTGTATCATCCCAACCGAAATACTCTTCTCTCACCGACATACCATGGACACGCTGACATTCTCTGGTATATTTAAACAGAACAAATGGTTTCTCTGTTGGTAGGAAGATGTCATGGGTTGGTAGACTGTCATCACTGTAATAGATACAGGTAGGTGTAGTAGCTTAGATCGTAGACCGCTAACGTAGTTTGGGTAGGGGTCGCACACATTAGATCTCTAACGTAGGTTGGGTAGGGTCGCACACATTAGATCGCTAACGTAGTTTGGGTATGAGTCGCACACATTAGACCACTAACGTAGTTTGGGTAGGGGTCGCACACATTAGACCGCTAACGTAGGTTGGGTAGGGATCGCACACATTAGACCGCTAACGTAGGTTGGGTAGGGATCGCTAGCGTAGGTAGAGTAGGGGTCGCACACATTAGGTTGCTAACGTAGGTTAGGTATGGGTCGCACACATTAGATCGCTAGCGTAGGTTGAGTAGGGATCACACATTAGAGCGCTAGTGTGGCTTGTGTTGGGTTCGCACACATTTCTGAATGGAATATTACCTGGTTAGTGATAAACCGTATGTCGCCAGACAGGTGCAAGCATTGTCCTTTTATTATGGCTACCTACCGACTTTATGTGTATTATATTACATTATTATGGCTACCTACCGACCATGTGTGTATTATATTACATTATTATGACTACCTACCGACCATGTGCGTATTACATCACATTACTATGGTAACTTACCGATCATCTGTGTAATATATTACATTACTATGGCTACCTACCGACTATATGTGTATTATATTACATTACTATGGCTACTTACCGACAACAGAAGTCTATCCGGGTATCTCTACCAAACTGTCCATTTGGCAGGGAACCGGAGGAATGATCTTTGTTGCGGAAGTTTGAATCGTCCCAGTAAATGTATCCCGAGGAAAATCCTAAAATATAAATGATGTAATCATTAATTTCACATCGAATCATTCCAGGTGCAAGTAGTCCTTATAGAATCATTCCAGGTGCAAGTAGTCCTTATATAATCGTTACAGTAGCAAGTAGTCCTTAGATAATCGTTACAGTAGCAAGTAGTCCTTATATAATCGTTACAGTAGCAAGTAGTCCTTATATAATCGTTACAGTAGCAAGTGGTCCTTATATAATCGTTACAGTAGCAAGTAGTCCTTATATAATCGTTACAGTAGCAAGTAGTCCTTATAGAATCGTTACAGTAGCAAGTAGTCATTTCTGTAGTATGTTGATGTCCGTCTAGCTTACATGACCAACACGTTGTTTTGTACTAACCGGACCTGACCGTACGTATTGTTAAATACATGGTATTGAGTTTACCGGTATGACCAGCATACAGCATGACTGGTTTCACAGACAATAAAATTATGAAATTAACCGAAATCGTATCGATTTGAAATGGTATAAAATTGTTCAGCAATAAAGTGGTATATGTATGGTTTAATGGTCGAGAGCGAGACATTAAGTAATATATTGATACCGCACGAGTCGTTAGGCAGTATGTATAATACTGCCTAACAAAATTTCTATATTCATTATTTATACCCCCCCCCCCCCCATATCGTAATATACCTACCGTGTGGATAGTTACTACATCGTCCTATTACGTAGACTGTTACCAAATCGTAATATATGTACCATGTGGATAGTTACTATATCGTAATCTACCTATCACGTGGATATATCGTAATATACCTATTACGTAGACTGTTACCATATCGTAATATATGTAACACGTGGATAGTTACTATATCGTAGTATACCTATCACGTGGATATATCATAATATACCTACCACGTAGACAGTTACCATATCGTTATATATGTACCATGTGGATAGTTACTATATCGTAATATACCTATCACGTGGATATATCGTAATATACCTATTACGTAGACTGTTACTAAATCGTAATATATGTTTCACATGGGTAGTTACTATATCGTAATATACATACCACCAGGACAGTTTCCATATTTCAGAATGCAATAATCTCCAGCCGGCCAATCAGCATCAAATTCACTGATTCTGGTATCACCTTTCATACAGAATTCCCACGTCATGTCTTTATTTCGAGTAAACAATCCTACAAATAACATAGTCATGGTTTGGGGTAAATGTCCTTCCAATACCCTTATCGCCCTTTGGCTCATGGTTTGGGTTAGATGTCCTACCAATACCCATATCACCCTTTAGCTCATGGTTTGGGGTAATTGTTCTGTGAGACTAACCTCCTCGCCCGTCCGTCAGCTCGTGCCTGGGGCAAATGTCCTGCCGCGACCCATCTCGCCCATCAACTCCTGCGCCAGGGCAATATCATGATTACGGGGCAGGATTCGACCAGTAAGGAGCGAAGGGTAGGAAAGCAAACTGAACTGGGAGTGGCGCTACAGGCTACTCGTATTTCCATTTCTCCTACATCCCATCCAAACCAACAGACGCTATCTTCAGTCTTTTGCCACTGACAAAGGTAAAACTGGCCCGAACATTCAGGGGAATCTTTTGAGCCAATACCCGGTTCATGAGTCAACACCGCACTCACCTGACCACCCTTGTGAAGGAAGCTATGTAACACTAACGTTATGGCTATCTACTAAAACACTATCAAATTATAGTAATACAGCAGATTAAAGCGATTCCCGGAATCTTCCACCCATCTGTCCTAATTCTATTTACATCTCGCGACCTTGACGAAATCTGCAGGTGACTACATCAGTAATTAATATATGTATGGAACAGAAGAAATACCTGCAATATGTAACGGATTGGACCAGGAATTTTTATTAAATATATTATTTGTATCCTGGTGCCTTGACCCTTGATGCCAATTGACTCTACCAGCAGGACAACCTGAGGTTGTTTTAACTAAACCATATGTTCCAGATGGCCAGGTGATGGGTATTTTTAGTTCGGGATCTGAAACAAATAAAGTTTTATTTAAATCACATGTGCTATTAATATGACGATTACTATCCGTAGAAACTGCGCGGGGGGGGGGGGGGGGGTAGCTGTAGCATATCCCATCTCGTGCACGACACGCGTCACTGCCTAGTACTAGTTTCGACATAGATTTCAGAAGCTGGATCTAATATTTGAATTAGATATAACAAATTTCAAATTAATACCAATAATTTGGTATTACATAGATAGCGACTAAAAACAAGAAACCCGACATCGATGTTGAGAATCTTTTATTTGGAAGTTTTCATGATAAATCGTTCGTTCCGTAAAGCTTTATGTCCACTTCCTCTTTGGGTGATATCGCAGACAAAACATGATTAATAATTTGTCCGTACTTTCGTATTAAAACATCGGTGCGGATAACCCCACCTGTGACTATTGTCCTGTGGTTGTTTAAAGTAGTTCAAGCTTCTGAATTTCAAATCCAAACACCAACATCGATCCCAAGGCATTATTTATCCTATATTTTCGGTTTAATCGTTTAATTATGTAAAGTAAGACTTGCCACGAGGTTAATTTTTGTTAAGGATAAATAATGAAACAGTTCATTGTCCTTCTTTAGCTGAGTGGCTTCGATTCCCCGGTTGTACGTGAGAAGGTTGACAAGGAATAGGGTCGCCTGCCCAACCTCGTGAGTTTTCTCCGGCTCCCCCGGTCTCATCTCACTGCTAAAGACCCCTACGCGTAAGCGATTTATTGAAATAAAATTGAACCTTATGTTAGTCCCGAAATAACCTAGTTTGTGTCGAGTGGACGTTAACACACCCCCCTCAGCTGTTGCCATGCTGTTGATATCATCTCTCCCGCATTCAGGAATTGATAATCAATACAAAAATAAATAAACATGCTCCAATTTAACTGTGCGTTTGTATGAACACTGACCTGTTACAACTGGTGCCAACTTGAAGGAAGCATAACCTTCTAAAGCTTTCAGGAAGTTAGTACTCTTTGAGGTTATCTGAGTTTTCATAGTCGGACATGCTGATCTCACTACCGGTGACGTCCAATACATAGGGTCCAAGGCTGTTACGATGGTTTTGATCTTTAAACCGATTGGTTCCGGTAAAGCGATAGTACCAGAATGAAGAGTTGTCTGCCGCTGACCAATCTTCAGTTTGTATTTGTCGCTTTGTTTGAACTGTTGGAAGTTTATTCCAAGCGATGCACCAAATCCCATGTACGATCCGCCGAATGAAAAACCAAATCCTCCCTGTCAAGTAAAATATTCTGATACAAATTTAGTCGTCCATAACCTACAGATTCCCGAAACCAGACCTGTCATATATCTGAATGGTAGGAGCCACCGTGATTCAGTGAGTAAAGCACCGACTCCCTAGCCAAGAAGACCTGGGTTTGACCCGGGTGTTGGCAGCGAAAGGTCATTGGTATTTTTCAGTGTGGTTTCCCTTGTCAATTATGCTGGATGGCGTATACCCTTCTTCATTATATCAGTTTGTGTAAAAAAAGTAGGTCGTTAAATACCTTTTCAATACATCCTACTATCATAGGATATATATTAATTAGAAATGAAATGAAATGAAAAGAAATGGGGTTTAACTTCCTGCTGTTCTGCTACTAAACTGGGCTAATAAAGACGGGCATACGTCATACAGTGTGCTTAAAGGGAAATTTTGCCCGGGCAGCGGCACTACGGTCTACTCTTATATCGAATTCCAACTGTCAAAAGGATATATATTAATTGGAACAAAGGAATCTGACGATAAGTGAGTGTCAAATATGCCACTTGTTGGCCATATTGAATAGAAGCAATAGATAATGTTACGTATCTATATTTCAATATATTGATTCAGCCTTAGTTTTCCCTTGTAGGACATACAGAATATCCCATACATAAAAATAGCAATAAATATTGTTACCTATCGATATTTCAATACATTGTTTCAGTGTTTTAGTTTTCATAGATTTAAATGGCTGACCACTCTGCCACATACCCTTTTTTCTACACAAATGTAATCCTTGGTTAAGACGACGTGTGGCACATTTACTTTTAACTTACGTTTTTCTGCACATGTTGAAAAAACTCCGCTAGCGATGCCTGATACCTGGTAATATTTTTGGTACCGAAATTAACTTGAACTGTTACGTGCTGTAAAAAGAAAATATATAGATAATATTGGTGAATTCCACATCACCTACTAAAGGTATATTGGTGAATTCCAAATCACCTGCTACAGGTACAAAAACGTATTAAAAAACCACGCCTAACCCCGGAGAATGCTATGTAAAATCGTTTTATGAATCTGGTTGAAATCGAATAAGGGCAATTATCTGCCAAAGGTAAGTTGTTTTAATTAACTAATCAATAATCATTTTAGCGTGGATTAATCTGTGAAATATTGTACCATCCGTACCTAAGGTTTTTTTAAACCTTGGGCAAAGGATGCAATCTGATTAAAACACAGATCCGATTTCGTTTCGTTTTTAATAGTTCAATGTTTCGTTTTACTTGTCTTTACCACATAAGGATCTGGAAGAGTTGTTATATAAACCGCGTTCTGGATGATGTGAGGGATTAGCCAATGAAACGGTCTGTTACGGCGAGCTTTTGGCGTGCGGTGCGCCGAACTGTGGGTCACCCATCGAAACATCAACGCTGATTGGTTAATCAATTTTCTGACGACTAGGGCCAAAGCTGCTCGAGACCTCCACTACAACCGGTGAGACTTTCACGTAACTGGGGCCATCGAAAGTATAAAAAACGAAACGAAATATAGATCTGTATTTTAATCAGATTGCAAAGAATGCAGCATATGAATTAAGGTACGTCTGGACACAACACCCAAGGAATGGGTCCTGGGTGGGTCCTGAATGATTGGGTGGGTGTGGGAGCATGTGTAATCTAAAAATATATCAGGACTCTGCCAAAACCGTACCTACCGTGTCCCAGTCGTCACGGACAGAAGGAAATAATTAGAGAAAGTCAATATTGCACCTACCGTGCCCCAGTCGTCACGGACAGAAGGAAATTGTTGGAGATTGTCAATATTGTACCTACCGTGCCCCAGTCGTCAAGGAATTGCATATAACTTTTAACATCATAATGAACAGGTAGCTTACAAACAGCCGAGGCGAAGTTCCTCGTCACCGAAAAACCATCGTTGTCGGCTAATTCCTCGGCATAACGAGCACTTCCCAAATTACAGATGCTTTGATCATCTTGGAACACTCGTCTATTTTGCTTCGTTTCACTGCTTTCTTTTTCGAACCCTTGAAATATTAAAAACAAGCACAATTGGTTCGAACCCCTAACAAATTGTTCACGAATAACTCCGTATAAAATTATTTTCAAGACGCACATTGTGATTTGTAAATAGTAACTGCCATGTGGCTACATCGACAAGGAAAGCCAAATAGGCTTCACACCTTGCATCGTACATAGAACAGTTGATAAATGTTTATCGAATTTAGAATGATGAATATTTACTTACGAGGACTCAAGCTGAAAGAGAAGGCAGCGATTCCGCCATTCCCCTTTCCTGTAATGTATAACCATGTAGATGAATAAAAAGAGAAATTCAGGAAAGTGGTAAAAAAAATTTGCTATGAATTCAATTTGAAAATCATCTGTACTCTACTTCAGTCTGTAAATATATCTAGTCTCCTTTTTTGACGTCACGTCCGGAGTCTTCAAATCTTTGTTAAGGGTTGATCAACCGTATCAATATGTATATTTGAAATCTATTTGATTACATGTATTTTTATGAAATCTGTGAACGACTGGACACGTCACTAGATTGATAAGGTGTCTGCTGAGAAATGAAATGAAATGAAATGGGACTTAACGTCCTACTGTTCTGCTTCAACTTGGCTAATGAAGACGGGCATACGCCATACAGTGTGCTTTGAGGGACAGCGGCACTACGGCCTACTCTTATATTGAATTCCAACTGTCAAGGGATCTCAATGTATTACGGGACCTAGGTTTTCAGTCCCATTCGAACGACTAGGCAGCTGTACTTGTCAGGCACTCCGTCCTGCACCACTGACAAGGTGGAAACCACGTCGGAAAATCCCGATTAACTTTCTCGGCCAATGCAGGGATCGAGCACGCGACCTACAGGCTAGAGAGCCTGCGCCTTACCCACTTAGCCACCGTGGCTCCGAGAGGAAATGCCGTAACATCTGGCAAGTTGTTTAAATATTAATAAAGAAAGCAGAACACACACTTGATAAAACACCAACCATACCTGAAGCGTCGACGTTTGTACCCAATTTACTTTGATAAGACTTAGCACCGTAAAATATATCAATTGTTTTAACGTCAAGACAACTCTGTCTTTTCTCATAAACAACTTCCTGTGGTACGTCTCCTGATGACAACTGGAATATATGTCTCAAGGTGTTGAGACCGGGATCAACTCCTCCCTGATTACCTTCTCCCCCATCGGGATTACCCTTTAATAGATTATACCCGATTCCGATGAAGTTGATTCCATGAGTTACGGCACCATGTATGGAGCTTGTGACCAACACAAACAGTGATAATCCTAAGATCTGAAAACATACACGATCATGTTTTATGTCATCCCTGATTCTCATCTCTTGTTAAAGAAAGAAGAATTGATTTGTTGTTATTCTCGAGGAAATGGCCATTGATGACTAATCACTGCAATAATCCCATTCTGTCACCCAATGCAATATTTGCCGGCTATCATAATGTGCATTGTTAAAAGAAGGCTTTCGCTTCATATCTGTCAAACGATTTGGTTAATATACTTTTATATTATTATGAGAATTTTTTTAGCGCAATCTGATGTGAATGACATCTTTCTTTAGAATAGATAATAAATGTCCTTTTCTATAGAGTCAAAAACTTCACAAAACTTGTGCTCGTAGCGCTTGACAAATTCTGCATAATGAGCCTTTACATAACTAGCCTGAGACAGATGCGTTTTTTAACGTTTCTTGGATGAGGTGCATTGAAGTAGGTTAATATGTAATGAGTTCCACCTTCTAGCAGTTGCTCTTCAAACAAACGATAACATAAAGTTGTAACTCTGTGACTTGGTATATGATCAGTTGATTGAGAGATTTCGATCGCAGATTTTGTGACGGGATGTAAGACTGAACAATTTTACAAAGACAATTTGGAGCAGTGATTTAAACCAAGAAAATGAAATGAAATGGGGTTTAAGGTTCTACTGTTCTGCTCCGACTGGGCCAATGTATACGCCATACAGGCTATGAGGGAAATTTTGCCCGGACAGCGGCACTACGGCCTACTCTTATACCGAATTCCAATCAGCCAAGAGATCTTTTACGTGCGCGGCAATTTGTACACGGGACCTCGGGTTTTATGTCATCCGAACGACTAGACAGCTGTCCGTGTCAGGTCCCCCGATAAACCAAGAAAAGGCTAATCATAATTTAAGTACTTATAAACTAAAATAAAGAATTCAAAAGTAGCGGTTGGAGGAGGCGATAAGATAAGACTTCGACGATTAACATGGATTTCAACACACAAAAAACTAATACACATTTACAAAATCTTAATAAATGTTTGTTACGGTGGAATTTGGGATCACGGCATATTCTACTCATATTATCTTTTAACAAATTTATGACTTCTACCGTCCGAAAATAACAGTTTTAACCATTAAAAGAAAATGCCAAGAATATCGTTCGACGATCACCAAACACACATTTCTCTAAACGGCAGAGTAAAATTAGAATCTTGATATATGTTGCGTCTAGCCGTTAGGATGGGTTGAAAACCGGGCTCTGGTGTACGCATTTCAGTGAGCCCTTGACGTGAGAGTAGAGCATGTAGCCGCTATTCGGGCAAACTGTTCCTTATAGCGGTCACATCTAAATATTAAGGCCATTTGCAGATTTCGTCAAGATTACGAGATGTAAACAGTGTTCTTGGACGTGTGATTGTTGCCGAGAATTGTGGGTTAGGGCTAGGTCTAGGGTTAAGGTTAGGTTAGCGCTAGCCCTGTTTTCATCTCGTGACCTTGAGGAAATCTGCAGGTATTTAGACCTAACCCCTTAGAGTACAGTACATCTGTTGTAGTTAGAGAATTATGACGGTAAACCCCATTTCAATTCTACCATTTTCTCTCTCTAGACAAAAGTAATAATAATACCGTACAAGCCTGTCCATTATATTTAAAGATGGGTTCCCAGAAAAGTATTTATCGGGTGGTTATTTCCAATAAAAATATGGCAATTTTGGTATATATGGAAAGTAGAGATATCCAATCTTACTAGAAAAATACTGGATTCCCCGAAAAACACTCATGGAGCGTATACAGGACAAAAATGTAAGGGTCCCCCTAATCAACAGCCCGACGATTATGACCTTCTGCACGCACGATGTCAAAGGTCACAAGCGACGATTGAGCGCTTGATGTACAAGTTGATAAACTTTATGAAGAGTTAGACGTACAATACTTTCTGAGATAAAAATGACGGAAAAAGACGCTGGTAGTGGATAATCCGAGAATATAATTAGGATTCGATATTTGTAATAAATAGTAAGCGATTAAAGACAACATCGTCTTATGTATGCAATGATTTCTCCTCTGACTCCCAAGACGTGACGTAAACATGACCTGGTTTGATCGAATTTTAATAGCAGGGCATTCCTTCGCAATTACAATGTTTGAGAAGGATTTGAAGCATAATTATGACAAATTAATTAGTTTGAATATGTTTTTGGTCCATATATACCATTAAATCACCCAGTTTGTACGCGGGAACCCATCTTTAACATGATAATATTGTTATTCTCAGATGTCCTAAATTAAATTACAACAGTTTTCACATTACTATAGAAAATGTTTGGGTTTTTTTACGTAAAAGATCTACCTTGTTCCTCTAAATCAAATTAATTTATAGAAGATATATTCGAATTTTAAGTAGATGTATAAAATAAAGTAGAACTTACTATCAGACGAGTCATTATGTCAACTAACAATAATCTCTCATAATCTTATCTTCGTTTTTCTTTCATTGTATCTTTTATCACGAGTTGTATTTTAGATCATGATGTCATGGCGTGGACGACCAACCATCTTATTGTGTATCTCCAACCGAACCATAGGATCCAATCGACGCCAAGTCCATCCCTCCGATTCCACTTACCTAGCAGGGCCCTCAGAAGGGCTTACGACCTCTCGAAAGAATGGTATTCCGGAGCTTTGTTTTGAGTAAGGAATAGAACTGTCGATTTTAATGGATTTTAGATGGTTATTTGTAATGTTTACAAGGTCACGTGTATATTCGTTACATTTTGAAAATTGTTCTTTCAACATTGAACGGATCGTTATTTATCTAAAGGGAGATAACCGAGGAACAACGTCTATTTGATAGGTTTGGATTAAAAGCCATTACACGTTAAAGAACCATGGAATATAAGATAAAATAGTTGACCGTAGCGAACTGCACACCACATGCCCCCTTCATTCACCCACCTAATCGGTTCCATTTAGCCTTCGTTTTCCATGAATAAAAGACCAGCTGTAACTATTTTAAGCGGTAAAGATAACACATTATATTGTGAAATAGTTGAATGTGGGTCTCATCCCCTATTCCATGAATATGTCAGCCAAAATGTAATTCTTCTTTGAAATCCATAATACAATAAAAAAAAACAAAGCAAAGAGAATTATGGTATTTATTAACGATAAACTGTATAGAATTCTCGGGGTATTCGTTAATACAGACGTTAGGCAATGCATTTGTTCAATGATAATAAAGGATGTTTCATAATTACTGGCTATATTAAAAGATAAACTCTCCTATTAAATATCACTAAAATACCCAATAAGTCACATTTTCATTCTGATTCAAATACAGATCTTTATTTCGTTTCCTTTTTATTAAACTTTCGATGGCCTCTACTACGTGAAGATCTGGCCGGTTGGTCGCGTCAGGGTTCATACGGGCGGCTTTTGACCCTATGACGTCAGACATTTATTAATCAATCAGCGTTCACGTTTCTAGTCGTTTACCCACGGTTCCGTGCACAGCACGCCAAGAACTTACCTAACAGACCGTTTCATTTGCTAATCCCTAACATCAATCAGAACGCGGGTTATATAACAACTCTTCCAGATCCTAGTGTTGTAAAGACAAGTTAAACCAAACTTTGAACTGTATTTTAATCAAATTGTGACAATTTACAAATACAATGATTATACACATTCAAAAATACAAAAAATAAAAATAGACAAATCCATGACACATGATAGGGAATTTTGACACACAATAAAAACTGGCAACGATTAAAATATAACCATTAAAGTAGAGAGAGAGAGAGAGAGAGAGAGAGAGAGAGGAGGAAGGGAGAGGGGGTTAACGCCCACTCGATACAAACTAGGTCATTTCGGGACAATCACATAGTTCTATTTTATTTCAATAATTCGCTTGACTCAATGACAGACCTTATGATTCAGCACGCATGTACTAATCATTTGCTCTCTCCCCCTTCCCTGTAAAGTAGGAGTTACCCACCCTTTACTTATAGAATATAATAGCCGTTTCATAATAAATATAATAACCATAAATATTCCCATGCATATTTTCTAGATAGGAATTGAACAATACTCCGATAACTAGTTTTATTGGGTAGAAATTGATTATCAATTAGAAATCCAAATAAGATTTTAGTTTTGTGAATCATCGTCTTGTATGTTGCCTTTCTTCATCAAATGGCTGAAATATGAAAACAACCAAGAAACAATTAGCAGTTGTTATTATATTCAGTAGCAGTGTGTAAATTGGTCTCCAATTGTTTATTTCATATAATGGCGGTTGGACAGGGATGTGGTGGTAACGTCAACTCGACACAAACTGAGTCATTTCGGGATTAAAAAAATAGAGAGAGGGAAACACCGGTTCCACTTCAGAGAGAAAGAGAGAGGGTGAAAGAGGGAGAGAAAGAGTGTGGGAGGAGAGAGAGAGAGAGGGGGAGAGAGAGAGAGAAAGAGTGTGGGAGGAGGGAGAGAGAGAGAGAGAGGGAGAGAGAGAGGGGGGAGGTGGTGGTAAATATATTAGTGAAATTGTTTAGAATCTTATACACGTATTTACCTGATATCATCACGAATATCACCATAGCAACCAGATAATATGGTAGACCTGCAATAAACATAGAGTTATTTAGAAGTGGAGCAACATGATGAATCAAGTCCAGGCTGTTATAAAACAAGTTGTATGTGAAAACAAGTAACTAATGTGTATACGTAACCAATACGATCTCACTTGATTCCATGCACCAGCAACTGAGTCGAGTCCTTTTAGAATTTAACAAATAATTAAGTTCTCATCCAGATATTCTACATTATGTGTATTGAAGTACATAAACAAAAGCGACACTAACATTGTTTTCGAAACGTTGTTTTAATCATATCTGACGACGAAAACAGTGTTAGTGTCTTTTTTATTTATGTACTTTAATATTTATCTAGTGAAGGACACTTCCGTATCTCATCCTTCGATCCATTGTTTTCATATTCCTGTTGGACGCGGGTTCTACACAAGTTATGTGTATTGCCTAGATTCATCAAATATCTCTTCTCATTAGTTTCGACTTTATTGTCACGTGATTCATCAAATGTCACGTGATGCTGGACATGAACTGGTTCCAAGTTCTCAGACTTTATTAACTCAAAATTGTTCGCCTTATTGTAACTAAAATATAGCCCTTTATAAACTTTTATTGTTTTAAAGTATCAAATACAACAATAAGAAACTATGTGCAAATTTTTGTGTTTGTGGATCAAAGATATTTTTCATAAACAGTGATTGAAAGTTGAGTAAATTCTTAATTTAAGACAAGTCTAATCACGTCGCCTTCTTGGGTTCAATTAAGGATGGCGTTTTGTAGCAGGTGGGTACTTGATGAAACTTGTAACGCGATTTCTAATTTTTATAACATTGCCACGAAAAAAAACCCTGCACACTAACCATTATAAAGACGTAACGAACCACCATGTTGACATTTAGAACCGTCAAACCCAGATTTAGGAGGATGAGTGGGTGGACCAGTCCGACCTCCAGCCCAATGAATCATCCGTCCATCTACAGCTTCATAACGTTTTCTATTACCATAATAATTAGCAACTACCTACAAATAGACAGTAGAATACACCATAACACCGTATCACACACAAACAATTACACAAGACAAACCCACGGACAGGACACACTTACACAAACAACAAACGCACCACAAATTATATGCTGTACACAATTACAGCTAGCCGTAAGCGTCCATTGTACTCTACAGTCTCGAGCATGTAATGATACGACTTCACTCGAAATGAAAAAGAAACTAAAAGTAGGGGAAGCATAACTCATCCGTTAGATAACATCAACATAACTATATATACTAGTTAATTAGTTAATGTTAATATCCCCTGTTTAAAACGGGTTTACAAATATACTGACTAGGAAGATTTACAAGAGGGGTGGGGGGTCATTTCGGGGGACTAACACTAAATGAATTAAAATGAAATGAAATGGGGTTTAACGTCCTACTGTTCTTCTCCTAATCTGGGCAAATGAAGACGGGCATGCCCCATACAGTATGCTATGAGGGAAATTTTGCCCGGGCAGAGGCGCTACGGCCTACTCTTATATCGAATTCCAACTGCCAAGGGATTTTTTACGTGCACGCCAATGTGTACGCGGGACCTCGGTTTTTCGTCCCATCCGAACGACTAGACAGCTGTCCTTGTCAGGCCCTCCGGGGGGACTAACACATGGTTCAATTATATATCAATAATTCGGTAGCGCATAGGGGTCTTTAGCAGTGGGAGGAAACCGGAGGACCCAGAGAAAACCCACGAGGTTGGACAGGCGAGACTACTCCTTGCCGTGTACAAACGGGAATCGAAACCACGCCACTAGACTCAATGACAGACCTGGTGATCAAGCTCGCACGCCTTAACCATTCAGCCACCTAACCCCCAAGTGTAACAGGGTGTACCTCAAATAAACCTGACGTCGGGTTCAGATCTAGAAGTGAATAATCACCATCTCTATCTCCATTCTCATCAATTCTTACAGCACCAGTTATACCTACAATTAGAGATACAGGAAGTGGTATCAGATGTTCTACAATATAATCAGTTTGAAAGATAACATCATGATAGCATCATAATGGGTACAAAACGCACATGTACTGTCTAATCTGTATGGTTCAGGAAGGAGGGCCTTACACGGACAGCTGTCTAGTCGTTCGGCCGAAAACCGAGGTCCCGTGTACATATTGGCGTGCATGTAAAAGATCCCGTGTATAGATTGGCGTGCATGTAAAAGATCCCTTGGGAGACGGAATTCGATATAAGAATAGGCGATAGTGCCGCTGTCCTGGCAAAATTTTCCTCATAGCACACTGTATGGCGTATGCCCGTCTTCATTAGCCCAGTCGGAGCAGAACAGTAGGGCGTTAAACGCCATTTCGTTTCATTTCATTTCTATGATAGCAGCATACTAGCCCATACGTTCATCGACTCTTTTCTTACTTTGTCTAATCTGCAGTTCGAAACATTGACATCAGTAAACTAGATTCCTACTTCTAAATTACATAACGTGTCCATGTGTCACGATCAGTTGCAGTAAATATACAAAGTTCATTCTCAAGAATCTATTGAACCCCTTCACCTTATTTTCTATATTAAAGCGAAAATTTGCAATTTCCGCTTTAATAGACCATGCTCATAGACCATGTTTATAGACCATGTCTATAGTATAATTATAAAATACCAGTCGTACTCACCTTGAAATGTTCTATTCCACATTCTTGCTGTAATAGCCCGACCATCTGATATGGAACCTTTAGCTTCTAATGTTTCATTTAATGCCATAGCATATAATAACACAGCATCGTGAAACGCCCCAACAAACAGATTTACCTAATAACATTAAAACACCTTGATATCAGTAAAATATAACATTAAAACACATTGGTATCTGTTAAATATGACATTGAAACACCTTAATATCAATTAAATATAACATTAAAACACAATGGTATCTGTTAAATATGACATTAAAACACCTTGGTATCGGTTAAATATAACATTAAAACACCTTGGTATCGGTTAAGTATGCCATGACATTAAAACACATTGGTATCGGTTGAGTATAAAATTAAAACACCTTGGTATCGGTTAAGTATAACATTAAAAGAATCCAACATAGCCTACTTTTGAAACTAATCAAGAACAACAATCAGTAAAGTAGTTATCAGAAATAATTAAAAGTTTATTGGCCACTAGAGGGTCCATAAGTAATCGGTGATATTATATATCAATATACAACTACAATTGAAGGTTGTTATTTAATTAATGACACTAGGGGAGACATTTATATTATTATACAAATTTTAACCCTTATCCTTGGATTATCAAGGAACTATTTTGGTAAGACCTTAACATATTATCTGTTGTTTTTTAAAATATTACTGTTGGTTTTTAATATATTACCTGTTGGTTTTTAAAATATTACCCTAAACATAATTATCTGTTGGTTCTTAACATATTACCTCTTGGGTTTTAACATATTACCTCTTGGGTTTTAACATATTACCTCTTGGGTTTTAACATATTTGTATGGGTTTTTGTACAGTATTAGTAAATGGCACCGTGCGCTGTAAGGAGCGGTGCATATTGTTTGTTGGCTTGGTTACGTCACTTGCTTCACGGGCGGAAGTGAGCAGACGACAGTGAGGCCGGTGTTTTGAAATGTATTTCGATGTGATGTAATTGTAAGTTCTTAAACTCGATTAAACCGTTGTCACGGTTATGCCGTTGATAAGGAGTTTTAATTATCTCAAACCCGAGCATACTGTACTGCCGTATATTTCGTTTAATCAAGGTTTATAATGACTATTTAATTATGTCAGAAGCCGGTAAATCTGACGGGCGAGCTATCAAAGATAATGTTATCCTTGACCAAGATGGCGCCTTGAATGAAAGAATCGAGGTTCTCAAGCGCAGGAAAAGGGGGCATATAGGACACTTGACTAAGATTTACACTGAGTTAGAAGAATTGAGAGAAAATCCTGAGAACTATGAAGAGGTATTGAAGAAGATGAATGAATTGAATTTTTCTTTTGTCAATTTCCAAAAGGTTCATAGAGACATAGTTGAAGTTGTGGTAGACAGGAATAGTATAGAAGAAAATCAGACAGCTTATGATGAACAGGTGAACCGAAGATTTCGTATTGAAGATGAAATTAAAGAGTGGCTTCTCGCTGTGGAACACATGAAGGGTGTAAAGCCAAAGGATTCTGTTAGTCAGATAGGTTTGAAATCAAATAATGGTTCAAATATTTCTGCACATTCTAGTAAAAACTCTTTAATTAAAGCCATAGTAAATCGGTGATATATGGTGTGTTCCCACTTAGCCGGCAGACTGTTAATCCTTTGATTGATCTTAAAACTATAGTCTGTTTAAAAGTAGTCACTCAAGAACTGTTCACTAGTGTTCAGCGTTAATGAGCTCTTAATCCCTCTTAATAAAATTTATTAACCAACTAATTAATGACATTTTGAACACAGTTAAGAAATATCGACAACTTGATACAAGAATTGAACATTTGGAAACACAGTTATTAAATGGCTCTTTAAGTGTAAATCGGTATGGAACAAATATTTCCTATTTAGTGGGGCTGTAAAATGATTGTTATGTTGTAAGGCATTTATTTATAAATTATATAATGCTAGTTAATAAAAAAAAGTTAAATGTGTAAATTGTAATGCATTTTTATATGTGTAAATCATTTAATGTTATTTAATAAATATTAAATTTGTTAAAATCATTATATTTTTATATGTGTAAGCTATTTAATGTTATTTAATAAAAGTTAAATTTGTTAAAATCAATACAGTTTTAGTCTTAAAAAAAGATATGGACTAGTTTATAACACCATTGTTCTAGGATTAACTCTGGATTAGCGGCAAAATTTGACATCAAAGCCTGCTGGCTAAGTGGGAACACCCCAGTAAATCATGCTGTTGCTAGGCTTAGGTTAGAACAAATACAAAAGGAACAGTTGATTTTGAAAGAAGAATTGAACATTAAAAATCAAATGGAGATGATGAAAATCAAAAATGAAATAGAAAAATCTGCATTAGAATGTGAAATTATGAAGAAGCCGATAGACAGGAAGATAAAGAATATAAAGAATTTAAGTCAATGTTTAAAAAATCAGAAGAGACTTGTGTCAACTCAGTGTATGAAAATCAGCAAGTTCCACTAATTAATCCAGAGTTAATTGATAAAACCGAAGCAAAGACTGATATTAAAACTAAAAGGCCAGCAAATGTGGAATTTTCTAGCACATTTGAAAATAAACAATAGACACCAAATGTTAATGCAAGGCCATTTTGTCCGGTCTCCAGCAGTAATATTGAAGATTTAAGTAATAGTTTGTTTACCTCAAGTCATGCTCCCACACAGCCACCTTTACAAGCTGGTAATACAGAACAGTTCCAGACTTCTGTACTCAAGGATCTCGGTACTGCTATGATGAGTATGGCAGATTCCTTGCGTTATGGTCTTTCAAAACCCTCACCAGAACTTCTTTATTTTGATGGAAAGTCGACCGAATTTTCCAAATTCATTCAACAGTGTACGAGAGGTCAAGAACACAAATTGATACAGAACTGCACAACCTTACCTCCAGAGTATGGGTTTAGGAAAGCTAAACATTTGCTGCGAGAAAGATATGGTCAGCCTTACATGATTGCTACAGCCTACTTAGATCAATTGATAAATGGTCCAACATTGAAACTAACAGATAAGAAAGGACTGCTAGAGTTATCCGATTAAATGATTGACTGTTATGATACATTAAATTATCTTGGATTTGCATCTGATATGAATGCCTGTGACAATATTGTGAAGATAGTCAAACGTTTACCATATCAGTGGAAAAGCCAGTGGGTAATGAAGTTCAGTAAAAGATTTAGTGAAGAAGATTTTGATCAAGAATCAAATATTGAAGATGTTGCATATAATTTTGTGGAACCAAAATTTAAAGATGTAATGAATTTCATTAGACAGAAGACTGAAGCTCTTAACCAGCCGGTTTATAGTAAGATTATGGAGGACAGCGCTTCAACAAAACCAAAGGGTACATTCAATGGCAGCGAAAGTTATGGTACTGGTACCAGACCTCATGCTACCATGATGAATACTTCAGTACAAGGTTCAGCAGAGGATAAACCCAAACCTCAAAAGTGTAGATATTTTTTCAAATTTCATAAGTTATTTGAATGTCCTGCTTTCAAATCCAAATCAGTTGAGACTATATATATTTTTGTTAGAAGACAAGGACTTTGTCTTAATTGTCTTATATCGACAGACCACATGTCCCGATATTGCCAGTTGGATCCAGTTTCAAAGTCAGAAGACTGCAGATACAAAAGTAAACACCATACATTGCTTCATCCTTTACCTCAACGATTTTCTAGATATGGTACCTACACAACAGACAGGAAATCACACACGCCTGAGTTTCCAGATGGGGCTGGGCATCCAACAGAGAATTCTTCTTCAGAGACAACAGCCTGCAGGAACTAATTAATACAACACTGTTACGAAGTACAAGTATATTTCTTCAAATAGTTGCTGTTAGGGTATGGAATATTGAACAGAACTCTGTAATACAAACATTTGCCTTATTGGATTCTGGTTCATCTGCATGTCTTTGTGAATATCGTCTGATGGAAAGATTAGGTATTAGGACATCAAACACAGAGAAGTTATCTTTGACTACAGTTTGTGGATCAGAAACCAAAGATGCTCTAAAGATAAAGCTACATTTAAGTTCTGTCGAAGCAGAAGACTTGGTCGAACTATCAGATGTATGGGTAGTTCAGAACTCTAATATTGCCAAAACACATTGTCCAGTGAAGGGTGAACTTTTAAAGTGGAGTCATCTTAAAGACCTTCCTATGGCAGAAGTAGACATTAATGAAGTTACACTTTTGATTGGTAGCAACGCAAGTGAATGTTTCATCCAGTATGATAATCGAATTGGCGAAAAACATGCACCGATTGCGGTAAAGACTATTTTAGGTTGGAGTTTGATAGGTGGTAGACAAAGACCTGAATCTTCGGAACAGATTAACTTTACGCACATGGAGAATGAGAAACTCTCAAAGCAAGTTGAGAAGTTTTGGCAGATGGACTCTATTGGTGCAGTTAGAAGTACTAAATCGGGGATGTCCGTGGAAGATAAAAGAGCCCTTTCAATTATGAAAACCTCTATTCAGATAAAAGAAGGTTATTATCAACTTGATATCCCATGGAAGTCATCAACCATAAGTTTACCAAACAACCGTGAAGTAGCCGAAAAACGTCTTCAGATGATGATGTATAAATTTCGTAAAAATGAAGATTACTACCTATCATACCAAGCAGCCATTAATGAATATATTGACAGTGGTTACGCGCTTAGAGTGCCAGAACATAGACTCAGTAATCCAAGCAGAGTATGCTGGTATTTACCTCATCATGGTGTGAGACATCCTCGCAAACCAGGTAAACTGCGAGTAGTGTTTGACGGATCGGCGAAATTTAAAGATACTTCCCTAAACGACCAAGTTCTCCAGGGTCCAGATTTAACCAGTAGTCTGTTGGGAGTACTACTTCGTTTCCGACAGGAGATTATCGCGTTTACTGGAGATATTCAAGGCATGTTCAACCAGGTTCATGTCAGCCCCAAGGACTATGATGCCCTGAGATTCTTGTGGATTCCAGGAGATGATCCCAGTCAAGAATTTGTCGAGTTTCATATGAAAGTTCATCTGTTTGGTGGAGTTTGGTCGCCGTCATGTTGTAATTTCTCCCTGCAACAGACAGCAACTGATAATCAAGAAAATTTTGATGCAGATGTTATCCAAAGTATTTCCAGAAACTTCTATGTTGATGATCTGTTAAAATCTGTTAAAGATGAGAAAACTGCAATACACATGATCAAATCATTTTGTGAGTTACTCCAGAAGGGTGGTTTTAGACTTACAAAGTTCTTAAGTAATAGTCGTAAAGTCTTGGAATCAGTGCCTGAAAATGACCGTGCCAAGAATGCTGTAAATTTGGATCTTAAAGAAATACCCATGGAGAGAGCCCTTGGAGTCCTGTGGAATACAGAATTAGACACATTTGACTTTAAGCATGAAATTCAAGATAAGATGTATACGCGTAGAGGTATACTATCAATAATAGCATCGATCTACGATCCGCTAGGACATTTAGCCGTTATAACCCTACAACCTAAGAGAATTCTTAAAGAACTCTGTAGACTTAAACTGGGATGGGATGAAAAGATTCCAGAGTAATTAGAAAAGGAGTGGAGAACATGGTTGTCAACCCTGTCATACTTACAAGATATGAGGATACCTCGCTGTTACTACCCACCGGAATTTGGTAGAACTGTGTCTGTCCAAATGCATCATTTCTCAGATGCGAGTCAGTATGGAATGGGTACAGCTTCTTATCTACGATTCAGAAACCAGAACGACGAATTCTATTGTTGTCTTGTCCTTGGTAAATCTCGTGTAACACCGATGAAGGCACAATCAATACCAAGATTAGAACTCAACTCAGCAGTTATGGCGGTAAGAATAAATCAAGTTAGTAATCCAACATGTATTCTACTGGACAGACTCGACGACTGTGCTTAAGTACATACGAAACGAATCGAGAAGATTCCAAGTGTACGTCTCAAACAAGGTTTCTGAAATACATGATGGTTCAAATCCGGAACAATGGTTTTATGTTGATACCAAACTTAATCCAAGCGATGATGCGTCACGTGGTATACCTGTTTCTTCATTGTGCTGTGAACATCGCTGGTTCAAGGGCCCCTACTTCCTTTGGTTGTCAGACAGTGAATGGCCAAAACAACCAGAGATAGTGAAGACAGTTTCAACTGATGATCCTGAATTGAGAAAGCCGAAGTCTGTAATGGTAAATTTAACTGAACAAGATACTTTAATAAACATTTTGTTCAAATGGTATTCCTCTTGGAGAAAGTTGAAAACCAATGTGGCTTGGCTACGCAGATATATTGAATATTTGAGTCAGAAGAGTAAGAACAACAACCTGTTTTCTGTTAGAAAGGATAACTTGACGGTCACCGATATGAGAGGAGCTGAACAAAAGATAATAGAAGTAGTCCAAAGTGAAAGCTTCCCGGATGAAATAAGAAGTTGTCAAGGTAAAGAGAACGTGAGTCAAAGGAGCTCACTCTACAAACTGAAACCTATCATAGATGAAGGAGGTTTGCTCTGTGTAGGAGGCAGACTTGAAAAATCTGAACTATCATATCATCAACGTCATCAAGTAATACTTCCCAATAAACATCCAGTGACAGATCTGATAATTCATGAGATGCACCAGACATATGGACATTCAGGTCGTAATCATATATTGTCAATTATTGGTCAAAGATTCTGGATTGTGAAGGGAAAATCTGCGGTTAAAAAGGTTCTTGCAGATTGTATGATGTGTAAAAGAGCTTATGCAAAGAGAGGAGTTCAGTTGATGGCTGACGTACCTTTGTGTAGAATTAAGTCAGAAGTCTCACCGTTTTCTAGAATCGGCATTGATCTATTTGGTCCTTTTTACGTTAAACAAGGTCGTAGCATCGTGAAGCGCTATGTATGCATCTTTACCTGTTTACAGATAAGAGCAGTACATTTTGAGGTTCTGCATTCCTTGGAGTCATCCTCATTTATCGAAGGATTCAGACGATTTATCAGTAGACGAGGCAAGCCACTTGAAATTAGAAGTGATCGAGGAACGAACTTCATAGGAAGTAATAAGGAGCTTCGTCAGAGTAGAGCTGAATGGAATCAACAGACTATCGATCAATTTCTTCTTCAAAATCAGATTAAATGGAAGTTCAACCCCGCTGCAGCGAGTCATCACGGAGGCGTGTGGGAGCGGCTAATTCGCTCTACTCGCAACGTATTACGTCAAACTCTTAAGGAGCAACTAGTGAACGATGAAACATTCCTGACTGTAATAGCTGAAGCAGAGTCCATTTTGAATAGCAGACCACTTGACCAGTGTAGTGATGACCCTGATGATTTGGAGCCGCTTAGTCCAAATCATCTGTTGTTGTTGCGCCCCAACGACAGCCTACCTCCGGGTGTTTTTAGCAAAGACGATTCAGTTTCAAAGCGGAAGTGGAGACAAGCCCAGTATCTATCAAATTTCTTCTGGAAGAGATGATCTAGAGAGTATATCCCCCTACTGCAGGAAAGGCAGAAATGGTTAAAAGAGACTGTCAATTTTAAAGTTGGTGATTTGTGTTTGATTGCGGACAATAATATTGCTAGGGGTATGTGGCCTCTTGCGCAAGTTATAAAAGTAGAGCCTGGTCATGACGGACTTGTGCGTTCTGTAATTGTTAAAACAAGTAATGGTGAATATTCAAGACCAATTAATAAGTTGTGTTAACTAGGACATTAAGATGTATTCATTGAACATTTACGAACACATATCTAGTAGTTTTATATGTTGCTTGTGTTTATGTTTCAGGTTAAAGTGATGGACACTAAATTGATGAATTCGTTACTTTTTAGGACTCATTCATGGGGCTGGGTGTATTGTTTTTTGTACAGTATTAGTAAATGGCACAGTGCGCTGTAAGGAGCGGTGCATATTGTTTGTTGGCTTGGTTACGTCACTTGCTTCACGGGCGGAAGTGAGCAGACGACAGTGAGGCCGGTGTTTTGAAATGTATTTCGATGTGATGTAATTGTAAGTTCTTAAACTTGATTAAACCGTTGTCACGGTTATGCCGTTGATAAGGAGTTTTAATTATCTCAAACCCGAGCATAATGTACTGCCGTATAATATTACCTACTGAGCGCCATGGAAAACGCATCACTTTTTGTCCCAAATATTTTATTACTAGGTGGTTTTGTATGTATAATACTATGCAATACTATGAACTATTGTTTCACACAATGTTCCCAAACGCAAAAAATATCGGCCCGTGCACACAAAAAAAAATTGCACGAGATGCACATGAAAAACCCAATATTCACGTGCAGCATTTTGTGTGAGCTCTTTAAAAGCATGTTTTCTACTTGAAATATTGAAAAAAAACAAAAAAAACCCGTAATGTGCAGTACATGAACTGTGAAACGTCAATCTGTCGTAATTTGTTGTTGGACGTGTGAAGGAATCGAGCTAGAGATGCCGAGACTTACTTAAATTAACGGAATGAAGCCATGGGAATGTCCATGGCTGGCATGTCTACACTACACGTGCTATTGCCAGACACTTCAATTGTCATCAGTCCACTATTGTAAGGTTGGTGGAACGTGTTCAAGTTACTGGATCAACACGTGACCGTCAACGTCCTGGTCCACAACGCGTTACAACCCAGGCTCAAGACCGCTACATCCGGGTCACTCATCTGCGTGACAGATTCCGCCCAGTGACTTGAACAGGTGCAGCAGTCGTCGGAAGACAAGGACCAGTAAGTGCCAACACCGTAAGACGTCGTCTAAGAGAAGTAGGAATCCGTGCACGACGACCTTATGTTGGATCCTCAGGGATCATCACCGTCAGCGGCGTTTGATATGGGCTCAAGGACACCAGACATGGAGAAGAGTAGACTGGCAAAGTGTGCATTTCAGTGATGAGAGTCGCTTTCATCTTTATCACGCTGATGGCCGTCAACGTGTGTGGAGACGTCTTGGGGAACGTCTTGCAGACTGCTGCGTCTTCGAAACGAATCGATGGGGTGGGGGAAGTGTAATGGTGTGGGGAGGCTTCACATTTCATCACCGGACCGCCCTACACATTTGCAGGGGTCGCGTTAATGCTGTAGCCTCTAGTGATGATGTCTTGCAATCAATTGTTGTTCCGATGTTTCGAGCGCACCCACAACTTCAGCACTTCCAACAGGATAATGCACGTCCGCATACCGTCCGTTTTAGTATGGACTACCTGGCTGCTAACAACATCAATGTCTTGGACTGGCCAGCCATGTCTCCGGACATGGCACCGATAGAACATGTCTGGGATGAGATTGGACGCCGTCTGTATCGGAGACCACAGATGCACACCATTGCTGCTTTAGAAGCTGCTCTTGTCCAAGAATGGAACAATTTGCCCCAGGCCTTCTCTCAAACATTGGTAAATTCCATGCGACGTCGTTGCTCAGCCTGCGTAAGAGCCCGTGGAGGACACACGCGCTACTGACATCTGTGTCGTACTTTTGGTTTTGACCCCTCTGATTTTGTACCGTTGATTACAGATTAAACATCCATAAGTGTACAAATGTGTTCCCATTTGAATATTGTTCACAATAAGAAGCAAAATAAATAAGATATGTTTACGGGATCATTTTGTTAAACGAAAAACTAAGTGATGCGTTTTCCATGGCGCTCAGTATATTACCTGTTAGTTTTTAACATAGTACCTGTTCCTCTGGATTCATAATGGACTTAGATACTCTTCGTTTGATTTCTCTCGTAAATGCTTTGTATTCAGTTGATGTCGGTGTGTACACGGTAAAAATCATTAAGGCTTCGTAGGCTTTCCTAGCTGCTTCATTCCTTTCCTGTGTATCATTCTCTCTGTACCACGGCTTCTCATTTACCAGTTCATCTAAACTGTATAGTACAGATAGAGAGAGACAGAGAGAGAAATAAGGTTTAACGTCCACTCGACACAAACTAGGCCAGCCATCACGCCCCCCCCCCCCAACCCCGGTAGAGAGTACACATAATTAGTTAATCTTACACTCATCCCAAAGTGGCTTGTGAAACAGAATCAAATACAGACCAGTAAAACCGGTTGACTTCCATGTGTGAGTATATTGTTGTCACCCTTGTCCGTTGGTCCGTCTATTCCAGTCTACCCACCCGTTTGTAATTATTTTAAACGCTTCACAGCCTAGGTAAGTGTATTTAAAAGCAACGATGGTTTCAAGTACCATGTAATTGTTCGGGGGGCACAGTGGCTAAGTGGGTAAGACGCTAGCCTGGGGGTCGAGTGTTTGATCCCTGCATTGGCCGTGAAAGTTCATCCAGATTTTCCGGCGTGGTTCCCCCTTGTCAGCGATACAGGAGGGGGGCCTGACAAGTGACAAGGGAAGCTGTCTAGTCGTTCGGATGGAAAAACCGAGGCTCTTGTACACATTGGCGTGCACGTAACAGATCCCTTGACAATTGGATAGGCCGTAGTGCCGCTGTCTGGGCACAATTTCCCTCATAACACACTGTATGGCGTATGTCCGTCTTCATTAGCCCAGTTCGGAGTAGAGCTGAACAGTAGGACGTTAAACTCCATTTCATTTTTGGAATTGTTCAGCTAATAACAAGGATAAAACCGATCAAAGTGCAGCGTTGCACATCGATTTTTCTTTGAGGATGATGTTTACTTTGCTGTTGATTTTAGACATAAGTCACTTGAATTACAGTCTACAAAGTGTCTAAACTACATTCAGATATCACAGTGACTGGAGAAATGAACGTACGAACGGACTACTTCACACAAATGGTAATTTACCTTCTGGCGATATCAATTTTGAAGAAAACATAATCCCCATTATCTAGATCTAACTCGTGAGCTGCAAGCATTATTTCTCTGATAGAATCGGGAGATCCACACAGTATGATGACTGAAAGATGTAGAAATTAGACGATTTAATAAATAAAAAAAATATGCCCATGGACCTAGAGCCTAGCATGACGTCATATCAATTGAGAAGAATTGTTTTTAGTGTCGTGCAGGGGTTTGATAATGCCTGGGACCAAAGCCCAAAGACATGAGTATCGGTTCTAATCACGCTACATCACAGCGTACCGTGGTCGGTGTGCCCCCACTATGCCCACTTTTGAAAAATAAGGGATTAAGTACAATTAATTCTTAATTGGATTAGTGTATTAAGCGGATTAGTATATTAAGCAGATTAGGATTAGTTGATAGTGGGCACTTGGAAGGAAAAAAAATATAGATATTACTGTATAAAGTTTTATTTTTATTTTTCTGTTTGATATATCATACATCACATTTTACAATTCAATAAAAATATAACATACCTATAATAACAGTTACAACAAGATAAATATGAATTGGTTAAAATTATAATCATAATAGTAAAACATAAACAATAAAAATAAATATCATAATAGTAAAACATAAACAGTAAAAAATCAAAAATCATTCATGTCATTTACAAAGCAGTTAAATGGGCTACGCAATCGGCATATTCAAATAAGGTCTTTATACCGTTTTGAAGATCAGTTTTCAGGGTTTGAAGTCGGGTTTCAAGTTGCCGGTACTTCCTTCTCTTAGGCCGTAATTTGCCGTTGGCACCCAACTGTAGTATGGTGGCCTCAGAGTACGCTTGCTCATTGTCCGGATGTGGTCTTGGTGTAGGTGTCTGGAAGCTGGATGTCGTTGCGGGTCTGAGGAAGTGCTGGAAGGATCTTTGCTCGGGCTCTATACAGGGAAGAACTGCAACTGTAGAGTGTTGGTACCTCACTAATTATCTCAGTTGAGTCAGGGTCAGATCGAAGGGCTGTACACAAAAAAAGAGAAAAAGAAAAAAATATTCATTAATCCTCGATAAGACGCTCGATTGATTTGTTTAGAAAAAAATGTTCATTATGCTTTCACATTGAAGCCTTTAAATCATCAACACTCAAGATTACAGATTTACAAATGAATTCTAAATGCATTTAGATAAATACATACCTGATACTTCCTCTTGATAAATGGCAAAGACTGGTTTGGTTTCTTCTTGCACCTTGGTTTTCATGGCAGCAAGAAATTTGTCAACTGCCACCTTGTGTGGGTTAGCAGCATGGCTGTGGTTTCTGGAATATTTGGTGATGAGGCCATGATGGGTGTTCAGGGTTGCTGGACAACCTCGTATACAACATCTCCACCCGTTCTTCCTTCCTATTCTTCACACAGAATTTATATCCTCCATAGACTAAGTTTTCTCCTCCCCGAGAATTTGGGATGTACTGGATGTCTACTTGAACGTTTGTCATGATGAAATATGGCAGTATGACTTCTGTGTGTCCTTATAAAGACAGTGTAATGTGTGCTGAACATTATTCATATTATATTCAAGTGTAATCATGTTACTGATAAGGACAGCTGTCTAGTCCTTCGGATGAGACGAAAAACCGAGGTCCCGTGTATACATCGGAATGCACGTAAAAGATCCCTTGGCAGTTGGAATTCGATATAAGAGTAGGCGATAGTGCCGCTGCCCGGGCAAAATTTCCCTCATAGCACACTGTATGGCGTATGCCCGTCTTCATTAGCCCAGTATAGGAGCAGAACAGTAGGACGTTAAACCCCATTTCATTTCATTTCATTTCAGTAATCATGTTATCATAAAATTCATCAATTTAACGATTAGAGTGAGTTCATCTCGTCAATCATAAGACTGAATATTTAGTCACTTCCAGTTTACTTCTGCAAATGCAGGTGAACTGTAGTTCATATATCAGGAGATATGTGCTAAGTACTGACCACACTAATTAATCCCTTGTTAATCTCTCTATTGTTCCCTCATTAACGCCTTTTAATCCCTCTATTGTTCCTCGCCTGAGTGAAACTTGTTTTTATTAAAAAAGTGGGCATAGTGGCATGCGACCCCGTGGTCTATGCCCCATCTAAACGTACAAGATAGCTCCGTATCAACATACGTTTATACGTAAACCATAAACAAGGTTTACATTAAAGATACATTATTGGATATTCGATAAGGTGTTGACAGTTCTCACTATAAAAGTTAAAAGCTTAATAATGTAAAGGCAATTTGCTGAAAATTTCATTAAAATTGGTCCACTATGAACCGATTATCCATTTAATCGTTAAATTAAAGTTATGCAGTAAATCGGCTCATAATTCACTAAAGATCGCAGGCTAGCGATGTCATCTAGAGTTGATTATGGTCTGGATAAGTTAATTAATGTCTTATTAATAATTTAGATAACATTTCAGGCCTAAAGAAAGACATGCAATAGACAGATTTAGCTCTTGCATAATGTATGTTTAAGAAAAGGGGGTGACGGTGGCTAAGTGGGTTAGACGCTTGCTCGCTAGCCTGGAGGTCGGGTGTTTGATCCCTTCATTGGCAGAGAAGCAGGACGGATGGGCTTGACAAGGACAGCTGTCTAGTCGTTCGAATGGGACGATAAACCGAGGTCCCGTGTACACATTGGCGTGCACATAAAATATCCCTTGACAGTTGGAATTCGATATAAGAGTAGGCCGTAGTGCCGCTGTCCGGGCAAAATTTCCCTCATAGCACACTGAATGGCATATGCCCGTCTTCATTAGCCCAGTTCGGAGGAGAACAGTAGAACGTTAAACCCCATTTCATTTCATTTCACATTAAGAAAACAATTACCTCGTGCATGATTTGAAATGTCCATCAGCTTTTGCTTGAATGCTTCTAGTTTGTCACTTGGATGAAATTGTTGATATCGGGGCTTGCTATTGGTGACACTGGCGCGGTAAATGGCTTCCATGGTAAAAAAACACTCAGATTTCCCAGTTCCCTCAACTAAATTGGAATATAATAGTGCCACTACAGACAAATCATATTTATTTAACGTCTGTTTCAGAAAATGTCCTAAATTGGAATAAGAATCCATTACTCGTGTTAAAAGTTTGTATTGCGATTTGTCTCGGAATGCCGTAACCAATCCACCAGCCGTGATTACAGGAATATTCCAACTACTAGAATATCTGGCTACAGGAGCCAAAGCATAATTACATGCAGGACCTAAAATTGATAAATTAATAAATGAATAGCTTATAAAATCAATCAATAAATGAATAACTTATAAAATCAATCAATAAATCATGAACTTATTAAATCAATCAATAAATCATGAACATATAAAATCAATCAATAAATCACGAACTTATAAAATCAATCAATAAATCATGAACTTATAAAATCAATCAATAAATCATGAACTTATAAAATCAATCAATAATTTAATCAATAATTTAATCAATAATTTAATCAATAATTTAATCAATAATTTAATCAATAATTTAATCAATAATTTATTAAATGAATCAAAAACTTATTAAATCACAAGTAATAACTTATTAAATCACAAGTAATAACTTATTAAATCACAAGTAATAACTTATTAAATCACAAGTAATAAACCAATAACCTATTAAATCAAGTAATAACCTATTAAACCAAGTAATACAGCAATAACCTATTAAATCAAGTAGTAAATTAAATCAATAACTTACCAAATCGAGTAATAACTTATTAAATTATTAACCTATTAATTCAAGTCAAGTAATACTGCAATACCCTCTTAAATCAAGTAATACACCAATAAATCAAGTAGTAAATTAAATCAATAACTTATCAAATCAAGTAATGAATCAATCAATAATTTAATTGGTGTCCTAATGGTTGACCACGTTTTGCTCTTCTTCGATTTCTTGGGCAAGAATTTAGGCAACCGATTACTTTGTTTATCAGTTGTAGCACGATAATATTTACTTACCCAGAAAAACATCGGCAGTTTTATTCAAATGCATTTCGATGGCTCTTAAAGGGCCATTAGTTTCGCTACATCCGGAATCGGCGTAAGTAACTTGTATTTTACGGCCATTAAGAAGATTGGTATTGGTCATAACTCGCTCAACAGCAAGTTCTATAGCAGGCATTACTTTGTGTAAACTAAATACAGAGCTTTCATTCATTGGTAGAATAACCCCGATTTTAACAGTCGCTAGTCTTTTAGCGGTACTGAGGGTAAAAAGGAGAATTAAGAAAAACATTTCGCTGTATTTCAAATAGAATTTCTTTCTCCAAGCAGCAAAGTTCCACATCATCGTTTCGGTAGATTTCTAGTGTCAGGTAATCGAATTGTAGATAGATATCTATGAAATGTTGACCATCCTTAATAGAAAATCTGTACACTGTAAATATAAAGGATACAGTGCATTATGTAACAGGGCGCAATTCTATGGAATGTGATTTCATTTCCTACTGTGATTTTCCAACCTCGTGAGTTTTCTCCGGGTCCTCCGGTTTCCTCCCACTGCTACAGACCGAGTTATTTAAATAAAATTGAACCATGTGTTAGTCCCGAAATGATGTCGTTTGTGGACAATAAATCCAATTTATCTCTCTGTCTTTAATAACTCAGGTAAATAAGCTAGTGCGGAGGGCTTGTTGATAAAATTGATCCTGTGTTTAATAGGTATCAACAGTGTAGATCTTTTACTTTGAATTATTTTTTTTGTAGTTGATCGACTAGGTATTTTAGCAGAGAGTATAATAACGAGTTACAGTAATCAAGAGACGGTGTAACAAATGCATTAATCAGTCACTTACCGAAAAATTGCCCTCGAACTTAAAATTTCCATGCGAAGAAAGTTGGTTGTCTTTAATTCACCATCTTTGCATTCACTGTTGTTATGACCCTTCTTTGTATCCCAAGCACACCAAATTATAACCGATACTGTCAGTATCTTCTTTTATTTTGCCGTTGTACTAATTGCATTCTATGAGGGTATATGTAATCATTTTGCCAATGTCTCCACCAATGGTTACCGAATGTAGTTCCCTCTATTCATAGGCTTTCTCTTCGTGCCAAATATACCATGGCGACTTGGATAACTAAGCCTCCGTGCCTAACGTAACATAATATTGTGACTTGAATACCCAGTCCTTCGTGTCTAGCATAAGATTGTGCAATATCAAGTTCCGAAACTAAGGAATGTTTCATGTGCGTCTAATGTTTCAGTGTAAGAAACAAGCTACTCAATTTTCCCAGGCACCATAATAAGCTATTGGAATATTCACCCGACTAGACCATACAAATGGAATGAAATGGGGTTTAACGTCCTACTTTTCTGCACTGACTGGGGTAATTAAGACTATGCGGTAAATATTGAAAAAGATAGCGGCGGTACGGTCTACTCTAATATAGAATTCCAACTGTCAAGGGGTTTTTACGTGCACGCCTATGTGTACATGAGACCGCGGTTATTCGTCCCATCCGATCGACTACACAGGGTTTCTTGTCAGTCCATATAGAAAAGTGAAATACATGTGTTGACTACAGCAGATGGTATATTATTACAGCACATGGCGGTTATCAGGTATTTATATCAGTCAACATGCTGTGGTTAAAGCAGGAAAAAAAGCATATACGGTAATGTATGGAAGCCTGCTGCGGCCAAATTATATTCTCGATTTCTAGTCGCAAGATGTCGAGAAAACGATCACTGGGGAAGCCGCTTTGAAAGTTCAATTTATACGCATGTCCACTTATTACCGCATCGATCATTTACATTGAGACGCGGCAGTTTAATTTACCAGCAATTTTCCCACGTCTACCTAAATCAACTCATACAACACTATGAGTGGTTGCAGGTTATCCAGTCCATGTACTCCTTGCTATATCAGAATAGACATCGAAATACTAAGCACCGACTCCTGCAAGAAATAGAGGCATCACATCTGGAACTTAATCATTTAGTTACTACAGAGGATTTTAATTCCATCCGCAAGACTTCCGCCAACCAAGCTAGCGAAGAAGGAATTAAACAACGACACTTCAAAAAGTTTGAACAACTAATTACCTTGTTGTGCTTGTTGTTTTTGTTAAATATCCTTTACCTCTTATATTATTTTTGTTACTGTTATTTTAATCCATGTTGATGGTTTCACTATGAATTTTGTATATATTGACCTCAGGTTTACTAAATGTCATTGTGCTTGATGACGATAAGAGGATACTTGTGGAAATGTCGTGCTTTTTAGAATAAAACTAGTGATTGTATCCCATAAAAACTGTGTTCTGTTAATGTGTTTCCGATCGCTAAATGCCACTTAAAGATTATAGGAATAGACATAGTGTAATTTCCGGAAACACCACCTTCATGAGTATGAGGGTGGGGGTATCCGAATGGCGGCCAGATTTAGGTTAATTAGGTAGTCTGCAAATATATTTAGGCAGTAACTTCATAATGTCTGCTGATCCAAATATGGCACCCGTCGGTCGTCCCTTCCCCTTCAGATTCGATATAAGGGTAGTATTTCTGCAGATGACCAATCAATATGAAAATACGCCTCGCTAATTTGGAGGGCCAACCTTTAAAAGAGCTACGCAGGCTATAAGGAAGCATGTCATCATGCAGCGTTCCTAGAGAAGAGACGCACCAATAGCCATCTTTGCCAAAGAAGTCGAGACAGAGATGATGTACATTTAACAAGAATCGTGCGGCTCTCCCCACCTGTGGGATTCAATACTATAAATATATATGTATTATCATAGCTGTCTGTAGCTGTTGTTGTTTGGACAAGGACATCTGTCTAGTCGTTCGGATGGGACGAAAAACCGAGGTTCCGTGTATAAATTGGTATGCAAGTAAAAGATTCCTGGACAGTTGGAATTCGATGTAAGAGTAGGCCATAGTGCCGCTGCCCGGGGTTAATTGACTATTAAAGGGATATTATGTAAGCTTTACACAGAGAGCTTAATGTTAGTTCCCACTATACTATTTTAAAAATAGATAATGCAAAATGATTATAATGAAAATTTCATTCAAATTACATTATTTTCATCAAAGTTATCAAGGGTTGTAGTTTTGACAACATGTGTGCATTGATCGTCCCACTGGTAACTTGCGCCTCCATTTTTAGTTGGGTGGCCGAATGGTTAGCACGTTCGCGCTGTATCATAAGGCCTGTCATTGAGTCAACTGGCGTGGTTTCGAATCCCCGGTTGTAGGGTCGCCTGTCCAATCTCGTGGGTTTTCTCCGGGTCCTCCTTTTTCCTCCTACTGCTCTAGACCCCTACGCGCAAGCGAATTATTGAAATAAAATTAAACCATATGCTAGTCCCGAAATGACCTAGTTTGTGTCGAGTGGACGTTAAACCCCATTTCTCTCTCTCTCTCTCTCTCTCTCTCTCTCTCTCTCTCTCCATTTTTAGATTCAATCATTAAACGGCCGAACCGTTCTAATCTACTTAAAACTCGAAGCCATACCATGGCACCGAGAGTTGTTTATGGTCTTTTTGTGTTAATAAATGGTGAATTAATAATTTATATAACATTTAAGGCCGAAAGAAAGATCTCCAATATGCAAATTGAGCTTCTACATAATGTCTTTATAAATAAATAGAAATCACAATAGTGGGAGTCGTGATAAACGACCATGACACGAGGGAGAGGTGGTAGTATTATACTCAAAGGTACCTATACTCTATTTCGAATCACAATAATTATCATCACGTATACTTATTTGAACTGTCTTGGTGAGAAATATATTTATGCCATAATATTTTGTAAAAAATTTTTTTTTTCATGAACGAAAAGTCTGGGTTTTATACACAATATTAAACTAGGATAACTTTGCCATAGCTCATAAAATGTTGCTATTGAGTTGGAAACCATTCGTCTTATATGGAATTTCCACTTGTGAACTTGTGATTAACATTCATTTTAAAATATCAAGTCAAAGATACATACCGGATGACAACATTAAGATGGATTATGGTGATGCTTAAGCTCTGTAGACACTTAATCAATCTTATAGCAACACCCGTTTCAATAATTTTGCCCAATCGATTGCTGAGCTTCGAGCATTTGAATATGTGCGGCCACGCCCACTTTAATCAAAATCACCAAATCAAGCTGCAATTTGGAATAGAAAGAGAGAGAGAGAGAGAGAGAGAGAGAGAGAGGTTTAACGTCCACTCGACACAAACTAGGTCATTTCGGGACTAACATATGGTTTAATTTTTTATTTCAGTAATTCGCTTGCGCGTAGGGGTCTTTAGCAGTGGGAGGAAACCGGAGGACCCGGAGAAAACCCACGAGTTTGGACAAGCGACCCTACTCCTTGTCATGTACAACCGGGAATTCGAAACCACGCCAGTTGACTAAATGACAGACCTTATGACACAGCGCGCACGTGCTAACCATTCGGCCATCCAACCCCCCTGAAATTTGAAATACCAGGGTATGGTTCACCAAAACCGAAATATAGAACGGTGTGGTTAAGCGAGATTACCAATCGAACGACTCTATTACCATTCGACTGAAACCAAATTCCAGCAGTGGGGATCGATTTTATGTCTTTCATTATAATTTGTATCTATCGATTTTCTGGCATTGATCGATAAATGATATTTATCGATTTGTTAGAAATTAAGATGAAAATATTGTTTTTAAAAGGAATGGAAATAAAACAAACACCTGTGATATAAATTCAATGTATTTATCCGATAATCGAATTGCCAGATTTGTAATAATAGCAGAAATGCAGTTTATGATTTTTGCTTCCACCATCATCATATGGATGAGCTCCACTGTTTCTATCACGGTTGGCGAAGTCATCATCATCCCAGGCCAGATATTCTTCTCTCACTGACATACCATGTACTAACTGGCATTCTCTGTTATATTTGAAGAGAAAGAAGGGTTTCTCGGTTGGTAGGAAGATTTTGTGGGTTGGTAAACTGTCACCTCTAAAATAGATACGAAATTATTTAGTTAAACATACATTATACAAGAGCTAAATCTGCCTATTGCAGTTGTTTCGTTAGGCCTGAAATGTTATGTAAATTATTAATTACACATTAATTCACTGATCCAGACCATCCCTAGCCTGCGATATCTACTTGTTTGGAATCTGCTGCTTAAAGCTTATTGATGATTAAATCAAAAATGGATAATCGAGACTATGTTTTTTATCGTACCGACTTTAGTAATGATGATCGAGGCTAGGTTTTAAATTGAATCGCTAAATTCTAGGTTCAGAGTGGATCAATTTGACTGAAAATTTCAGCAAATTCCCTTTACATTATCTAGCTTTTAACTATTATAGTCAGAACTACCAGCTCTATATCTAATCTTCCATAATGTATCTTTAAGGCCCCTCGCACCAAGAACGATTTGCTGGCAGACCAATGCGCCATTAGTGACAATCTCCAACGGAAACCATCCAGGTCTCAGAATTTCACATTTACCTATCCCTGTTTTTGTATGTGTTATTTATCGTCAAATTGGTAAGGCCGCTTTGCTCCGGATAGCCCTTTTGATGGTCCACATAACATTATATAACATGACTTACCGACAACAGAAATCTATACGTGTGTTTTTATCATATTCTCCATTAGGTAGTGAACCAGACTGATAATTATGGTTGTGGAAATCTTCATCATCCCAGTAGATAGATCCAGAAGCGAACCCTAAAATATTTGTTTCTACCCTTCAGATAACTGTATTATAAATAAGAGTCGACATTTTTAATTGTATTACAAATAACAGCCGTTGTTTTTAGTTTATAAGAGACAGCCGTTGTTTTTAATTTTTGAGACAGTTGTAGTCTTTAGTTTTTAAGAAACAGTCGCTGTTTTTAATTTTTAAGAGACGGTCGTTGTTTTTTAGTTTTTAAGAGACAGCCGTTGTTTTTAATTGATAAGAGACAGCCGTTGATTTTGGACAGTCGTTGTTTTTTATTTATAAGAGACAGTCGTTGTTTTTTATTTATAAGAGACAGTCGTTGTTTTTTATTTATAGGAGACAGTCGTTGTTTTTTATTTATAAGAGACAGTCGTTGTTTTTTTTTATTTATAAGAGACAGTTTTATTTATAAGAGACAGTCGTTGTTTTTTATTTATAAGAGACAGTCGTTGTTTTTTATTTATAAGAGACAGTCGTTGTTTTTTTTTATTTATAAGAGACAGTTTTATTTATAAGAGACAGTCGTTGTTTTTTATTTATAAGAGACAGTCGTTGTTTTTTTTATTTATAAGAGACAGTCGTTGTTTTTTTTATTTATAAGAGACAGTCGTTGTTTTTTATTTATAAGAGCCGTTGTTTTTAATTTATAAGAGACATCCGTTGTTCTTTTATTTATAAGAGACTACGAACTTGGAACTTATAATATATGCAACAAATGCCCTAAATCTTTCTATTACTTTCAATAAATTTCTCAAGTTTCTACACGTGTCACAATTAGGTAAATAAAATACTAAATAACTAATTCGAATACGGGTCATAAACAGCTTGAATACAGGTCATACACGGTTTGAATAAAAGACATACACGGGTCGAATAAAAGTCATACACAGTTTGGATGCAGATCACACACAGTTCATTGTATCATACAACCCAGACAATCGTTATCTTAGAGATGTGTTGGCGGATTCTAGGATGGGAGTTAATCTTGTTGTCAGTATCTTTATTGTTGCACAGTGTGGATAAATCAAGTTTGTCAGCGACCCCATTACAAAAAATAAAACAGAGAGAGAGAGAGAGAGAGAGAGAGAGACAGGGGGGGGGGAGATAGGGGGGTAACGTCCACTCGACAAAAAGTAGTCGCTAAAATTAGCCTTTTCGGAATTCGTGAGAAAAAGTCGGTCGAATTAGAATAAACATATTAGATTTGAGAGAGGGAAAGAGAGAGAAAGAGAGAGAGAGAGAGAGAAAGAGAGAGAGAGAGAGAGGGGGAGGGAGATGGGGTTTAACGTCCACTCGACACAAACTAAATCATTTCGGGACTAACACATGGTTCAATATTATTTCAATAATTCGTTTGCGCGCAGGGGTCTTTAGCAGTGGGTGGAAACCGGAGGACCCGAAAAAACCCCACGAGGTTGGACAGGCGACCCTACTCCTTGTCAAGAACAACCGGAATATGAAACCCCGCCAGTTGACTCAATGACAGGCCGTATGATACAGCCCGCATGTGCTAACCATTCGGACATCCCCCCCCCACAATATAAAACAATAAATTTGTTAAACAATACCTGTTGGACAGTTTCCATATTTTAATATACAGTAATCTCCTGCTGGCCAATTTACATCAAAAACATTGATAGTCACATCACCTTTCATACAGAAATTCATTGTCATATCTTCTTTATGACTAAACCGACCTAAACACAAATATAAATTATATTATTTTCCTTAACTGTTTTCACCACTTGCTTTTATTGATCGGGTTTATTAACCAAAATGATTGGATTGCTACAGACGAGTAAGCAAAATAGATAGGTGTAAATGATACTTGAATCTTTTCAGACCGAAAGATGTAAACTAAGCAACTCCTGTAGGACATTCTGATTTAAAGTAGCCATCTATATTCGTATGTCTTCAACATCCCATACAAACAATACAATATAAACCGAAGAGTACAGATGGTTACCGTAACAGGTCATGTCCTTGTTGTGCTTTACTACATTGAACAAAGTGAGGAAACACTGTCCGAAGAGTCGATAAGAGTATGATCAAATGGTCTATTTGATAAAATAAAACCAAGTACGAACAATCCAAACCATTAGACAAAATTCGAAGTCCTAAAAAAAACGGTATAGGCAAAATAGTGTAATCAGGCAAAATAGTGTAATCAGCATATGGACTGTTCACCGTGAACAAAATACACGACAAACAGTGGTAACAGGTGTCCGGAAGAGTAAGCCTTCCCTGTCTGGGACCAGGTGTAATTCGCTCCAGAGAGGGTCTATATCTACTGCATACTCCTATAGAAAGGTAAATATATGTATATGATTGGACGAGGAATTTCTACTGTTTGTATCTTCGGTACACATGTATATAACTGGTCACCTGAAATATGTATAGGACTCGACCAGGAGTTCTTATTGCGTGTATCTTCTGTATCTTGATGTCTTGATCCTTCATGCCACGTGACTCTACCAGAAGGACAGCCTGATGTTGATTTAACTAAACCATATGTTCCAGCTGGCCAGGTGATTGGAATCTTTAGTTCCGGATCTGACAACAAAAGAAAGTACAATGAAACCATATATTCCGACTGATTAAATTTCTGGATTTTAAGAAAAGGAATGTCATCGCAATAAAACATGAAGACAGCTATTGACGGAACTCTTAATGACCCATTACCGACAGATAATGACCGCCGATAAATGCAGGCATGTAAATAATTTCACCGTCTTGTGACATTTGTCACCATTTAGGAATGTAAAGTGTTTTACTAACCTGTAGCACGTGGTGCCATTTTAAAAGCAGCATAACCCTCTAAAGCTTTAAGCAGGTTATTTGTCTTTGATGTCATCTGAGTCTTCATAGTTGGACATGCTGACATGACATCTGGTGACCTCCAGTATATTGGGTTCAAGGCTGTTACTATGGTTTTGACCTTCAATGCAATCGGTTCCGGAAGTGTTGCATTGCCAGAGTGTAGAGTTGTTTGATGCTGTCCAAAACGTAGCTCATACTTATCACTCTGTTTGAATGTTTCGAAATTAACCCCAAGTGATGCACCAAATCCCATGTAGGATCCCCCAACAGAAAACCCAGTCCCTCCCTAAAATGTAAAATAAATTACAATGATTTTATTGCCCATATAGCTTTTGATATAGTGTCTCCCTTCCGGATTAATTCTAAATACCACTAAAATTGGGAAATATAAGAATAAACTTTATTACTTACACTTTTCTGTACATGTTGTATAAATTCTACCAATGAAGCCTGGTTTCTAACAATATTCTTAGTACCAAATTTAACTTGTATTGTAACATGCTACCAAATGATAAACAATTTATAAGATGTATTCAGTGCTGTCTATAAAACCAACAATTATAACCGAATCAAGTAACAAAGTAACAAGCGTGGAACATTTGTAATTTAATCTATTATATCGATTTGATTAAAAAGCAAAAAAAAAACAAAAAAAAAACCCAACAAAAACAACCCTATGACACGAAAGGAAAAGAAATGGTGTCCAGCGTCCTTAGTTTCTTCACCAGCCAGGCTAATGAAAACGGCAAATAACTATAAATGTAATAAACTCAAACCCATAAGCAAAGCAATACCATTTGGACTGTTGATTGCAACAGTTCCTTTTTATTGGTAAATGATATCAATATTACAAATGCACATACGCCACACAGCTGGTGATTTGCAGGAACTCTGAGCATCACAGCTAGCAGTATCAATTCGCATTAGTAAGCCCAGTCTAGTCGATATTTATTTAGGGTTTTTTTCTTCAAATTAATATATTTTACTGTTTTTTAAAAAGACTTACCGTACCCCACTCGTCAAGAAATTGCATATAACTTTTAACATTATAGTTAAGCGGAAGTTGGCAAAAAGCCGCTGCAAAGTTTCTAGTAACGGAATATCCATCAGCCATTGCCAGTTCCTCAGCAAATCGAGCACTTCCCAAATTACAGATGGTTTCATCGTCTTGTAATACTTGTCTGTTTTTGTTTATTTCGCTGTTTATTTGTTGGAATTCTTCAAATATGCAAGAACACGAAAATAAATATTGATTCTGATGCATGACAGGCTAATGCAGTATAATCTGTCCACAAAGGCACAACCAAATACTGGATCCAAAATATAATTAAATATATTGTCGAGGTGGCATACTCGATAAACGAGCGCACAAAGACAACAAATTTGTATTGCACTTTTGTATAAAGCAGATACTTAAAATACTTACGATGACTCAAACTGAATGAAAATTTTACCAGGTCAATATTACCATTTCCTGTAAGAGAGAGTTAAATGTGGTTTAACATCAACTTAATACAACAGGACTAACATATGGTGTCTTCGTCAATAATTCATTTTTGCGAATGTTTTTACTGGTATATTTACAAGGGTACTTAATAAGCTGGCCAATATTAAAATCACACATTGATTATAGAATTATTATGTTAAGACTGAATGCTAAATAGGGTTGAAGGTATATTGTTACATACTGTTTTAAAGAGAGAGAGAGAGAGAGAGAGAGAGAAATGGGGTTTAACGTCCACTCGACACAACCGGGTCATTTCGGGACTAACATATGGTTTAATTTTATTTCAATAATTCGCTTGCGCATAGGGGTCTTTAGTAGTGGGAGGAAACTGGAGGACCCGGAGAAAACCCACGAGGTTGGACAGGCGACCATACTCCTTGTCACGTACAACCGGGGATTCGAAACACATTCTGTTTTAAGATCCAATCTGTAATGTATTGACAATTGTTTTAGGGACATATTGTTGTATGTGATTAAGGAGGGCGTGTGGGCATTACTTGACATTATGAATCTTTAAGTTAAAATAACTCATTTCTAATATTGCTATCAACATTATGAATCTTAGAATAGCCCATTTTTAATAGTGCTATCGACATTATGAATCTAAAAATAACTCGTTTCTAATAGTGCTATCAACGTGATGAATTTCATACTGACAGCGCTATCAGAAATGTGTTATTTTAACATGCATGTTGTCTAGCAGTGCCTTTCCTTAAAATAATAAACAAGATATAATTTAATGAGATACCCACCGGAAGACTCTACTCCGGAACTTAGTTTAGTTTGGTATGATTTGGCAGTTAGGGGTTACTCTGGGGTTGAAATAACTTTATAATGGGTATTGTCGGGCAGTATTTAATTTCAGTATTTAATGAGATACCCACCTGAAGACTCTACTCCGGAACTTAGTTTAGTTTGATAAGATTTAGCACCATAAAATATATCTACAGATTGGCTCCGCAAGCAACTCAAACTTAACTTGTACAACACCTCTTTTGGAACGGGTGTTGAAGGTACCGTTGTCAGCTGGAATATCTGCCTTAGGGTGTTTAGACCGGGATCGACTCCTCCTCCACTTCCCCCATCCGGATTCCCTGTCAACAGATTATACCCGATTCCGACAAAGTCAATGCCGTGGTATACGACACCACTTGACAATTGGCCGACCAGTAATAGCAGCAGTAGCTCCAGTATCTGAAACATATATGTTCTAAATGGCATTTCGAAAGAAAAGTTGCATTTTTCTTTTTGATACAAATAGTTGTAACTTCAACAACTGAGACACGCACGTTTCAAATTATTACAGTAGCTTCAGTTTCTGAAACATACATGTTCCAAATGGGATTTCGAAAGAAAAGCGTTAGAGTTGTTACTTGTGCACAAAGTCAGCATCACGGTTTTCGATAAAAATAGGTGTAGTTCATCTGGATTTTCCAGCGTGGTTCCCTCTTGTCAGTGGTGCAGAACAGAGGGCCTGATAATGGACACCACATAGTTCTTCAGATGGGACGAAACACCGAGGTACTGTGTACACATATGCGTGCATGTAAAAGAACCCATGGCAGATGGAATTGATGTAAGACTAGGCCATGGCGCCGCTGTCCGGGCAAATGTCAATCATAACACACTGTATGACGTGTGCCCGTCTTCATTAGCTTCATTAGCCAAGTCGGGAGCATTGCCAACACCCCTCTCTCCCTTCTCCCCCCCCCCCCTCTCTCTGTCTCTCTCTCTCTCAAATCCTAAATGTTAATGGCACACTGTTCTTGCCATCTTTTAATATTTAATAATAATAATATTATAGAACATGACATACCTTTAGATCAGCCATTGTGGTAAATAGAAGTGTGTTCAGATTGAATAATGCAACACGTGTTTATCATGGCCCACATTTTAAAATAAACAAAAATAAAAGATAAAAATTTACTTTACAATGTTCTACACTATCTGTCTAAACCAAAATAACGCAAACAAGATAACGATAAAAGAAATTGTTAAATGTCTTGGATATAAGTTAAACTATTGGTTAAAATAAATACCTCACAATTTCAGAGGGGATCACGTGGCTAAGTGGGTAAGACGCTGGCTCGCTAGCTTGGAGGTCAGGTGTTCGATCCCTGCATTGGCCGAGAAAGTTCATCAAGATTTTCTGGCGTGGTTCCCCCTTGTCAGTGATGCAGGACTGACGGCCTGACAAGGACAGCTGTGTAGTCCTTCGGATGAGACGAAAAACCGAGCTCCCGTGTATACATTTGAATGCACGTAAAACATCCCTTGGCAGTTGGAATTCGATATAAGAGTAGGCGATAGTGCCGCTGCCCGGGCAAAATTTCCCTCATAGCACACTGTATGGCGTATGCGCAGCATAGGAGCAGAACACTAGGACGTTAAACCCCATTTCATTTCATTTCATTTCACAATTTCAGTGACGTTGTTCAACATTTCTTGATTGACACTAACTGACGATTTACTTTTTACTTGTGGTCTAGTTTATTGAAAGAACCGGATTTTAAATATTAGAAATGCGAAACGGTCCTTAGGTGTACTCGCATTTACATATTTATACTCAGAAACAAAGCACATGGGTTAAGAGCGTAAAATGCCCTACTAATGCTAAATAATTGGAACTAATTATTGAACGTAAATATCTTTGGTTTCCTGACTTGGTTTACTAGATTTTATGCGTTGTTTCAGCTATGACCTCTATGGTGTTGTTACAGTAATGGACTCTATGGCGTTGGTACAGTAATGGACTCTATGACGTTGTTTCAGCTATGGACTCTGTGACGCTGTTTCAGCTATGGACTCTATGGACTATATGGCACTAATTAATCAAAGTAACCCTTATGTAGCAAGTAACACGAGGACAACATTACAGGCTCTTAAGCCACGGATTCTGGTTCTTAATGGTATGTATGGAAAGTATACAAATTGTGGATGGACATTGAATTTTAACTCTAACCAAACTTAGGAGCTTTCGGAAAGGGGGGGGGGGCTCTTAGACACACAAACCTTCCGACTGGCCTTTCCAAAATGATCTTAGGGCACAATATGTTTTGATTAAATCTCACTGGGCTTCCGATTACTAATAAAAGAGATGAAAACCACAGTCAGTTTTACAAATAGACTCTCCTTTGCTGAATGAGGAGGTGGTAAAAGCAGGTCTGACAAAACTCGTCAATATTTTTATTTTAAATCCCGAAGGAACGGAATAATAAATGCATTTAGGGATCTGTGATTAGATAAATGGACATGTTAGTTACTTTTATAAACCTGGTGTGATGACGAAATACACCTTTATTCATTTTTTAAGTACCTTTTTGGGGTCCACACAAGGCGTTAAAAAGGATGACGATTTCAAAAGCTGAAATCCTATAAAGTGGGAGTTAATCGATGATTTTCCAAAACATCAAATACGGAAAGGGAATCGCAACAAAATGTAACTTAATATTAGATTTTTATGGATTGAGTGTTATTTCGCCATGGTTTATTTGGTGGATTAAGTGTTATTTCGCTAAGATTTATTTGGTGGATTAAGTGTTATTTCGCTAAGATTTATTTGGTTCGTCCTGGAATTGAATTGATGATCATTAATGTCATACCACTCTTTAATCCTGGCATATATTGTACTCCCCAGTTAAAACTTGTAATTGTGTGACAGTATTGAGTCTTTGAATCAGATTCTTGACGACAAGATGGCACGAAGCGTCTATAACATCTGTCGCAATGTAACAATTGTCCGGTCATTTCACCACATAAATATCTTGATAGTAATAGAAATAGATGATATACGTATTGTGATTATCCATTCCCTACCAGTATTTCTTGGACCAGGTCCCCAACCACAACTCAGCTTCTTCTCGGGGGGAGGAGGGGAGGCGACGCTCTTAAAAAAATGCCTAGTTGTGCCCCGATTGATCGACATGACACGACAATTCCAAGATGGCTGCTATTCTCAGTTTCTGGTCCCTACTACGGTGGCACTTGTTTACATAACTAAAATAAATGAGGCAATTATTTCGCATTTCTCATTTTTGGGTGCACTTTGAAGAATGGATAGTGTAACATGAAGCTAAAATCAGTTTATCTTTATATATGTTTCGACTAGGGACCTTGGGGTCCATGTTTAATTGAAAAAAATATTTATTCATTGGGAGGCAGACCACCATTAAACTTCACCATCTCGGTACCCTGTGTAGTTCGTCTATTTATAGCAATTCTCTCTTTTCTCCCCTTTTGCATGCCCATTTGTGTTGATTTTTTTGGTCTAGAATACTAGAATAGACGAAGAGGGTTTGAATTAACATTTTCTGCCAGGTTTTGGTAAATATTCATGATTTTGAGGCGGAAGGATAATGGGGTTATGAGATTGGTTACGGTGATATATACGTCAAATAGTTACATATTTTTAGTATGCTTCTTCAGCGAAAAACATTCAGCCCAACGATAATTTGGGGTAAAGTTGGAGGCAGGCAAAGGGGCCAGAATTAACATTGAAGCCAATGGGGGAAATTAATGGTGGTCTGCCTTCATTGATGTCATTTTACAAAACTTGTTATCTCCCCTTAAATGTGTCGGACAATATTATTCTGAAAGATTTTTATGTTTAAAGAAATTGTGCTGGTAATTGAAACTTTGCAGTTTTACATAGGCTTGTATATACTATAAATTTCATAATTTTCTGAGGGATCACCTGGCAACTTGCGAAGCACTTCGTCCACTTGACATGGAATGACTCACATACATTTCAAGCTTCATCATAATCGAATAAACATTGGGAGCCACATAGTATTCACAAACAAATGTGAACGTACAACCGGGCATGGGTGACGACATAATGAAATGTAGCATATAAAAAAAATGAAATACTTTTCATCTGGTTAAAAATAGTATGTCTACGTTTCGTTGTGAATTTTTCGGAATTTTTACAGCGTATTACGACAAATACGCGGGAAATAACGGAACATGGATCATCAAGTCACATAATCCATATTTTTGATCTTCGCCGTTCAACGTTTTAGGAGAATTACAGACACCGTTAAAAATAGTCTTACCAAGGATAAAATTCAAAATGTAAATTGAATACTTTTTAGGTTTTATAAAGCAAGACATGTAACGCGGGCAAATATTGTCAGAAAGCATTCAAAGTCAACTGGTCTCTTCCGGTCAATACTCTGAATAAATCATTTTAAGTTTCAAAAGATACAATCACGATATTAGAAATGGAAGTACAAAGCATAGACATTGGCTGAATACGAAATATCACGATGGGAAATTTGCACGGTCAATTTTCAAATCGGGTGATGAGATTTGGATGTCACATGAGAATAAGCATAAGTTAGTTTTTGTAAGTATAGGCCGTATTACATTGTTTTGTTGAAATGAACTTCAAAATTTAAGAAATTGCGCTGATCGTAAAGAACATTCTGCTTACACCACTGCCTGTCATAACGCTAACCCTAACTTAAAAGTCATTTAAAAGGTGGCTGTATTCTGAAGCTAATCGAGAATTCGCTCTCGGAAGACTTTGACCCCGAACGACGGACTGATTACCCACCACTCGACATCTTATTCTACGCACAAGTTTATTATAGAAAAGTTGGGTCTGGTATTGTACCGATTTGATGGACTCCCTCCACACCGCACGCTGCCTCCAGGCTAAAGTAAAATTAGTGGGTGGTTCGGGTGACCAAATGGTTAACATTTTCAGTTACGTGGCGTGGTTTCGATGATTCTTTGCTTGTACGTGACAAGGAGTAGGGACGCCGACCTAAGCTCGTGGGTTTTCTCCGGTTCCTTCTACAATTACAGAACCATACGCGCTAACGAATTATTGAAATAAAATAGAGACATTGTTAGTCCCGAAATTACCCTTCTCTCTCTCTCTCTCTCTCTCTCTCTCTCTTTCTCTCTCTGTCTCTCTCTTAGTTAAAAATGGTATTAATTAGAGAGAGAGAGAGAGAGAGAGAGAGAGAAATGGGGTTTAACGTCCACTCTACACAAACTAGGTCATTTCGGGACTAACATATGGTTTAATTTTATTTACATAATTCGCTTGCGCGTAGGGGTCTTTAGCAGTGGGAGGAAACCGGAGGTATTAATTAGAGTGTAGTCATTAAGTAGGTGTTAAAAGGTAGGGGATATTGAAATGCAAATACCTATGCGGGTTGTGATATGATAAATAGTCATGGACACTTGACATGCTTTCAGAGTATCTTCACAGATGAAGAACTTATCGCCCCAACAGAACCACTGAGCAGCACATGCGACACGCAATAGCGCCATATACGTGGGATGGGTTCATTGTCAAATTTGACACTTCAAGGAAGATTTGATGAAAACTGCCGCGTGCTGATTTATTCTATCCATGTTTGCTTTCCTGTCGATTCTTGCATAAGATTTACTGTTTAGCGTATCTTTGCTTTAGTGTGTTACGTTTATTTTCATCGGGAGACGTGTTCGATAGATTTATTGAACACAGCATAATTATGAATGATACAATTCTTGTTAGATCTAATTGAGAGGCCCTTTACTAATGGGGTGGGTATGCAGCCATATCAGACCCTCATCCTCGTTAAAGTGGACCTCAGTTTGAGGATGAATAATGTCAGAATTTATGGATAAACTATCGCGGTGTAGCAACAACAGTATATTCTTGTGTTGACATACTCACTCCACATGTTCCATCAGTACTGGGTTTCTCACTGCCGGAAGTCGAGAAAGAAAACCTTTGTAGGAGATTGGTGAAAAACAGAAATATTTCCATCCTAGCCAGTGGTTCACCAGCACAGATCCGTGGACCTACTGAAAACGGTATTAATGTAGCAGCAGTTTGTTTGGATACCGCTCCTGTATCATCAAGGAAGCGTTCTGGTTTAAACTGTAAAGGTTCCTTCCAGTATCTAGAATCAAGGTGGCATGCGTACAAATTTGCGTAAACCAATGAACCTTGCGGGATTAGGAATCCTTTTACTACGGCATCTTTGTCCGTTGTGTGGGGAAGTGTCATGGGCACTGTGTTGGCTAGGCGTTGTACTTCGAACAGTGTTGCTTCGTTGTACGGCATTTTAGACTTATCAGACCAACTAACCATACGGCTATCACCGATCACACTGGCGATTTCCTCGTGACATTTCTTCTGGACTTCCGGGTGGAGGGTCATAAAGAGCAATGTCCAATCGAGGGTGGTAGCTGTCGTGTCTGATCCAGCAATAAATAGATCTAAAATGACTCTGTTCGTGTTGCCTTCACTGAGGACACTGGACTCACCCCCCTTACCACACATATCCAAATGAATATCAATAATGTCCTTTATGTCGTTTTTATCAAAAGCCCCTTTGTGTCCTTCAATATGTTTCGCAATAAACTGTTTTACCTTCGTCATAGCATTACCAACGACCATTAGTTTTGATGTCAAAAGGGGAATGAAACGAATCATAGGAAAACGATGAACAGGGCTAAACAACGCCATATCACTTTTAAAACTTATGTCTATAACGTGCATGATTTGAAGAAAATCAGCATCGCTATAATCATATCTTTTACCAAATACAACTGTACTGATGATATTGGTTGTAGCTTTCATCATAATATCATGGACTTTAAATGGTTTTCCTTCACGTGTTGTTATAAAGTCTAAAATGATTTTAGTTTCTTCCTTAATCCTATCCTCGAGAGTAGCCTTCCCGACTCCTAGATCCCGAAGTGCACGAACTGTCATTCTTCTCGCATCTTTCCATTCTTGTCCACTCGCCCAGACTACTCCCTTTCCGTCTTTTACAGCCTGTTGAATTCCCCAAAGCTTATCTACTGGTCGCGAACTGAACAGATCCTTTTGCTTCACAAAAGCTTCCTCGATAGATTCGAAATCGTTTTAAACTACCAACAACTGGTTACCGAAATAAATTCGGAAAATGTCGCCATATTTTTCTTGAAGTTCTGCATAATATTTATGTCTCTTACCTATTCGTTTGCCTCGCATATCCAGCATGTTTCCCACAATTGGCCAATATGGTGGTCCAGGAGGAATCCCAGATCGTTCCTGCATTGAGATGACATATCCAATAACTAATAGAAAGACAAGAGTCAGTAAAATGGTTGTTACATCAGTAAATGATGTTAGAATATCCCAAAGGTTATTCATATCTATACAAGTAGATCACAGCTGGCCTGTATGTCTCCTAATTAAATATCAGCATCCACCAAATCACAGTCACAGTCGGCCTATATGTCTTCTTAAAAGATATTGTAAACGGCATGTTAATAACCCACGAACAATCACTGAGTGTATACACCGCTATAAACATATATCGTATAGGTCTCTCTCCCTCCTACCAACATTCACTAAACAGACACCTTGCTCAATTGTTCACTTTATAAATATTGCAAAACGATTTATTATAGTTACTATACAGTCAACATCCACTATGTTGTTCTTTTCAGTAATATCGGATTGAAGACACGTACCTTACTGAATTATTCTATTCATAAGTAACTATATAATCAACGACGAGACATAACAATGTGAAGGTCGCGTGCATGACTGGCTTTATTAACTAATTCATACACACACCACCTCACTGTAATATTATCACACATGTATAACATGACTAGATCTATTTGTTAAGGCCAACTCAATATTTCGTCAAGGTAGCTGAGATGTAAACAAGGTTAGGTCATTCAAAAACACACCACACGACGTTTCGACAAGTATTCTCTTATATTTATCAATCACTAAATGCCACGCAAGGATTATAACGTTAGGGCACGTGATGGTTGGTGAGATTGTAGGTTGGGTTAGGGCAGTGGTTCTCAACCTTTTTTGCCAACGGCACACCTTGGAAAAATAGCGGCACACCTGGCTAAATATATATGACAAATATTTGAATTTTGCAAAATAAAAACATGGCAAGTCATAGACGGCATACAACCGTACACACAGACTAGTCATAGACACATAGAATGACAAATTAAATAAAGAAAAACACAACTATGAATTTACTTTATTGCAGTGTTTCGAATTTCATCAGTCAAATAGCTGGCTTCTTTAGTGAGAAATTTTCTTAGTGTGCCGTTCAAAATTTAGCGGCACACTTAAGAAGATCTCGCGGCACACTTGTTGAGAATCACTGGGTTAGGGGTAAACGTTAGGGCTAGGGTTGGGATTAGCGCCAGACCCGTTTACAGCTGGTGACCTTTACCCAAACTTGAAGTTGGCCCTATGAAATAGATCTATCACAATACTGCATTGCGGGGGCATAAATCGGGACAACTGTAATATACTCAACGTAAATGTAAGCGACCATATCCGGGCTGTGACTTCCCTGTGTTCATTTTATATTTTATACTCGGTATATTGCACGGGCTGAAACTCGCCATTTATTTAACATTTCATAACCGTATATTTATTGTCAATCTAGAATTAAATACTTCGCCAAATACAAAATAAATAGTATCACAGAATTCATTATAGGCCCACCTTTCAAAGATTCACATATAGTGTAAATTAAGATTTCGATAAAAATTTATGTTACTAAATGTTCTCAATATAGGTTATTTGGGTTTTTTTTATGCTATTGTTCTAATATTTAAGACTTATTTTATTTCTGAATGAAAATATCTTTAAACATTGTCTATTTAACTTCTAACTTTGCCATCTAACTGGCCATTGAGAGGACGGTTATTGTGCATTTCATACCACTTAAATCCAACTCTACCGACGAATTTCAAATACATTCAAATAACACACAAATTTTTAAAGTACACTCACTAACTTCGTATTTTTGTGTTTCATGTGTGTGTTGCAATAAGCCAATGACTGAATGTAATTTTTGATGACATGCCAGCAAAATGTCATGGCGATGTCCTGGAATAAAGTTGTCAGGTGCAGAATTTGTAGCCACTCCAAAGCGAGTCTAATACCCAGGAAATATTCATTCGCAGTCAGTTGCCCTGGGGTCAGTTGTTCAAAGCTCCGTTAACTTTTGGTTGTGCGTGACGAGGAGTAGGGTCGCCTGTCCAACCTCGTGGGTTTTCTCCGGGTCCTCCGCTTTCCTACCACTGCTAAAGACACCTACGCACAAGCGAATTATTGAAAAAAAGTTAAACCATATGTTAGTCCCGAAATGACCTAGTTTGTGCCGTGTGGACGTTAAACCCCATTTCTCTCTCTCTCCCGTTAACTTTTAACGACTCGTTAACATGGAGTTAATGGACCGTTATCTTTAATGGAGAGAGAGTCTGTTGCTGGAAGGCCCGTTAACTTTAATATGTCGTTAACTTGCCGTTATATGAGCATTTTATAGATTGTTATAGTGTTTTGTAACAGACTGCACAGTTGTCCCACTGTCTCCTATGAAGTCGTTATACATGGACATTGAATTTAAAATTAAGCCAATGACCAAACAGTCTTCTCTTGGATTAACTGTAATCAGTCTGTTAGCAAACGGATAATGAAATTGATTTTCCAGCAACACATATAATGATGGTTTGTTAGTGGTGCGAGACTCAATTTCTTATAAGAAGTTCTTATCCCGTTCGTATCCTCTTCCCCTAATTGTTGGACGCTATATAACCATGAGTTTACTGACAGTATGTATGTTTCATGTTGTTAATAAAGCTGCTACCATTATGCTGATCTTCTGTTATCTATAGTGTTACATTGATTAGAAACTGTTAAAGCTCTCGGTCCTCATTCTGGCTTATAACAACGACATAATTAATATACCTATAGCTTTAATAAAGAATTATTTCACCATCTTTATATTCGTGGTCCATTTGATTGAAACATTTACTATCTCGACTAATCAAAAAATAATAATGGTCCATTAATTAGCTTAATCTATCCCGAGGTTATTTTCTAATCCTTGTGCCTAAATTATGCCCATATTATCAGTTTTGTGACGATTTCGTATGCTTGTAATAAAAGGATGGACTAAGAATCATGCGCATGATTCTTTCAAAACCTTAAAATATAAATCCTGGTTTAAGTGTTGCGGCTGGGTGTCAAGAATAGCAATACCTCCCAATGGATGTTATGATAGGAGAACGACATAGAACGCAACCTGGTGCCAATAAGATGTTGGCCAGGTCTTGACTTAGATGTGGATATGGTGCAAGGAGTTGTAAGACATATCAATCCGATAGGTACAATCTTGCAACTGCACCCATGTAGCCAACTTCATGTTTATAACGCGGAAACAGTGCAAGGGACTGTAGACTTAGTGGTCGTGGACGAAGTGGATAGAAGCATTAGTGTGTAATACAAATTCATCAAAAGTATCAATTTCTAAATTGTCTAGTATCTTCGCAACCACCAGCAACGAAAGATTTTCCAAACAATCATTGTCTCCAATGGCAGATCTAGTTGGGGCGCATCAGACTCCCCCCCCCCACACACACACACACTTCCGATATGGATTTATGACTGAAGACGTCCCTTTACAATCCATTTTTTAGAACAGGATTCAGGTCATTGGAAAATGGCATTTACTGGCTTCTAGCTCTTGAAATTTTCCGGCGTAGTCCATGCCCTATCTATGACCCGCCCTTGGTATCTTACTATGGTTTAATACTTTTCTTGATAAAAGTGGGGTTTATCGGTTATTCCGTTATATCAACTAACGATTGTTTGATTGAAAAACAATAAACCAAGTACACGAGATGGCAGATTAAATCGACTGTTATTTACCTATAGCATTTCTATACATGCTACTACCTGAGGTCAACTGTGGACTGATTAAGAAATTAAGAAATGGCATTTGACATTTTCGAGATTGTGTAATTGGATCACGCGATTAAAAGTTCAAACTTCATCACCTTAGCGCGAATAAAAACGGCCCTAAATGGATAACTGCCAGGGTTGTTAAAGTTACTAATCCGTTATTGAGTCACGACACGTAATAATGATCACATATTACGTCTAAAACATTTCAGGCCAAAATAAAAGAGAGAGAGAGAAATGGGGTTTAACGTCCACTCGACACAACTAGGTCATTTTGGGACTAACATATGGTTTAATTTTATTTCAATAATTCGCTTGCGCATAGGGGTCTTTAGCAGTGGGAGAAAACCGGAGGACCCGGAGAAAACCCACGAGGTTGGACAGGCGACCCTACTCCTTGTCACATACAACCGGGGATTCGAAACCACGCCAGTCGACTCAATGACAGTCTTTATGATACAACGCGCGCACGCTAACCATTCAGCCATCCAACCCCCCAGGCCAAAATAAAGACCACTGACAAGGGAAACACCACGCTCGAAACTCCCGATGAAACGCTGTTGGTTTTAAAGATTATGTCATGCAAATAAAGAACTACGAGAAGGAAGAAAAATAATTTGATTTTAATAGTGTGTATAAATAAATATATATAAACATACACGATAAAAAAATATGTAGATATGTACAATGGTCCATGACATAACGTTAAAATGGGTATGGCACAGGGGAATGTCTATATACATAAAAAAAACATGAAGTTATATCAATATTTGTGTATATAACTGCATAAAAATACAACTATGCAGGCTTTACAGATGATTTTTTTTTTTGTTGTTGAGTGTTCAATCGGTTTGATTAACAAAAAGGGTCGTTGCCAGGCAACGAAAGATTAACCCACAGGTTGGAGAGAGAGAGAGAGAGAGAAAGAAAGAGAGAGGGGGGGGGGGGGTAACATCCAGTCGACACAAATTAGTTCAATTCAAAAGTAACATGTTGTTCACTTTTATTTCAATAATTCGGTTGCTCGTAGGGGTCTTTAGCAATATTATGAAAGCGGAAGACCCGGAGAAAACCCAAGAGGTTAGACGAACCCTAAAGAAATTAACGGAAATTGTTGAAGTAGAATGGGCTCCTTCGTTTCGCAAATTTTAATATTACCCATATGATAACTTTTATTGCTACAGCGTTTAAAAAATTCAATAGAATTCCTCGTCTTAACAATATAAACAACATAATTCATTTTTTAAAAAGATCATTTTTCCCGGATTTCCGTTCGCGCTGTTTTGTTACCTTTCACTTGTAAAGCGCGTTGACTATTTCTTGGAAACTGAAGAAATTAGAAACAAAGTTTTGATTTACTCTTGATCTTATATAATAATTATATATGATATATGTTTATGAAAATTCCGAGTATAAATAATTAAATAGTTCACAGTAGCTAAGTAGTCCGGTTGGATTGTCCATAATAAATGCATGTCGAACGAATACATTTTCGGTAATAAAGACATTTACACTCTGTACCACGTAACTCGTTAAACAAGTTGTGGATAAGAGAAATAAACGAGAACAAACTGTGTTTACATTCCGGTCACCACACCACATATTGTAAAATATCATACAAAATATCAATAATATGTTTGTAAAATTTCGATCATTGGCACAAAATAATTGCGAAGATGTGCCAAAAATAAAACGGATAAAAGAAGGAGGTTTAAATTCTGACATACTGTAAGAACAGTATGCCAAAGAATTAGTACTTTTTGAGATATGGGGTAAAAAATAATCACAACAAAAACAACAATGTTTCATACAAGCTTCGAAGTGTGAAACCCTAATAAACACAATCATCATCAATAACATATTTTGTCTCAGAACACAACCACTGTATTTAAATAAGGATTGTGCCGAGATGCTTTTACCTATTGATATTCGAGCAATATTTATATACATACTCGAATTGCGCGAACAATGTATCACTGTCGTTGAACAATGTTTATAGATTTATAGTGAAACTTATTGATCTCTTGAAGATGCATTATGTAAGAGCTAAATTTCCTGAATGCAGATCTTTCTTTTGACCTTAAAGCGAGAATTTCATATTTTCTAAGAAAGTCAAAACATAATTATTTCTATGTCATTTGCTCAATAGGTTATCAACTCACTATTATACGACCATGGGCATTATTTCCCACCCTTAAAAATCATTGACACAGGAAATAATAACACAATTACCTCCCTTGTTTTCATATTGCCTCCATGCATTAGCTACCTTGAAACGTTGGAATTTGAAGTTGAAAATGATATTTTTGCCAATTTCTCAGCTGGCAATAGTGAATTATAGGATTAATAGGATTATTCTTTAACAAGGTAGGACGGTTTATGGATACCATCTATTTTAGGGCTTTATTTTAATAAATATTAAAAATATAACTTAAAAATATGAAATTGTAGCTTTAATGATTTAATGAAAAAATGGAGAATAACGACTTTGTTTATTGTAGTAACAACGGTAGCAATGGCAATCGAGTCAACACTGCTCTTCTAATGCCCAGTAATTTGACAGAAACTTTTAACATATTCCCTTATCATTATCTATCTTTTAACTATTATAGCGAGCACTGTCAGCTCTTTATCTAGATCTTACATACTGCATCTTTGAAGAAAATTAAAATTAAAAATATATTGCCACACTCAATTTTTATATGATAGATGTAACATTGTGTATGTTATATATATATAAAATGAACTACCCAGTAGTCGCCATGGTAGACTATAACTATACACTAGCCGCCATGCTAGATTATGACTATACATTAGCCGCCATGGTAGACTATAACTACACAGTAGCCGCCATGGTAGGCTATAACTACACAGTGGCCATGGTAAGCTATAACTATTAACAATTGCACTAGATAAAAAGTCCGGTAAACAAACACACACATATTTATATAATAGGAATAATGCATAGCATTAAATAATAAAACCTTCAAAAACGAAAGCGTTGTATATATATAGTATGAGGAGGTAACATTAACATCATTATAAACCTAAAAGGTCATAAAGAGCAAGTCGGTCGGTTTATGCCCACTGTGCATTTTAATACCCAGGTATTGGCAATTTCGGCCTTTAGGATTAATTTTATTACTTCCTTTTTGAGGTTTTTTTTCTTTTTTTTCTTTTTAGATTCTTTTTTGGCACACGACTCGGCCTTTATAGCTGTTACCCTTTCATAACTATTCAAATATAACAGGTGATTTTAGCACGTGACAAAATACCGGTAAATAAAGTAATAAAATTACCCATAATTATCTTTAATATTGTATAACAATAAAATAAAACATATATAACTATATAAAAAAAAAATAAAACGTACGATATGTTTAATATTCACCTTTAAAAAAAAAAAGATGCAGGATTTCAAAAAAAATAAAATAAAATAAAAATAAAGATCTTGAAAGGAGACAATGTTCTATACCATCATGAAGAATTTAAACTATCTCGACATCCAACTTCTTTGTTCTAGGAATGTGACGTGCTCTATAAAATTCTGACAAAAAATAACCGAGCATACCAACCACACACGCAAAGCCAAGTATGTAAATTTTGGTCATCATACAGAAGCCTTGAGCGTAACTAAAAGATATAGTGATACCTAACCCCTGAACAATTCGTAAGCCGGTATAACCTTCTTCATAATTGTCAGGGAACAACACACCAACCAACGCTGAAAAAGAAAATGCTTGGTCGTTTATATGTTCACCCTTTTAGTTATCTTTAAATAATGCTTTTGAATAGGGCGGACCACGGCTAAATTCTTACAGCAAACAATCTGATTAAAATACAGATCTATATCTCGTTTCGTTTTTTTTTTTATACTTTCGCTGATCAGTTGTGGCGTGGGTCGAGTCAGAGGTCATACGAGCGGCTGTTGACCCTATGACGTTAGACATGTGATTAACCAATCAGCGTTGATGTTTCTACTAGGACACCCACAGTTCCGTGCATCGCACGCCAAAAATTCGCTGCAACAGATCGTTTCATTGGCTAATCCCTCACATCAATCAGAACACGGGTTATATAACAACTCTTCCCTATCCTAGTGTAGTGAAGCCAAGTAAAACGAAATTTTGAACAATAAAAAGATAGGTTGCCACGCAACGAAACATACGCCCGAGCAGTCAACAAGAGTTGTCGCATATTTTTTCTATTGTCGGTAATGAAACATTTATAATACACTAAAATCAGATTAAGAGTAACAACTCATTAAGTCATTAAGTAATTATCCGAAAATCATTAGAAATTGTTTGGCTTTTAGTTCTGCCCCTTGCTAACGTTTAATATACGAAACATTTAATATCATGGATTTAGCTGTTCAAGTTATCAAAATTCATTGAAAATCAATATACTTGTTCGTCTCAAGACCTTAAACTCTGTTTATCAATCTAAAGTCAATCCGATGATAACTTTAGTCTCTAGAGCATCCACAAGTGATCAAGAGCCATAACTCTGGTAGTAATTATCGGAAATCATTGAAAACCACTGGGTTTTTTCGTATCACGACCTTAAACACTGTGTATAAATCTGAAGTCAATCGGATATTAACTTTAGTCTCTTGCGCGTCCACAAGATATTTCAAAGTGATCAAGGGCCATAATTAGCGTATATCGTTGAAAATCAATAGGATGCTTCGTCGCATGGCCTTAAACACCGTGTATAAATTCCAAGTCAATCGGATATTAACTTTAGCCTCTAGAACGCCCACAAGATTTTTCAAAGTGATCAAGGGTCATAACTCTGGTAGTAATTATCACCGTATATAAATTTAAAGTCAATCGGATATTAACTTTACTCTGTAGAGCGTCCACAAAGATTTTTCAACGAGATCAAGGGCCATAACTCTGACAGTAATTATCAGATATCGCTGAAAAGCAATATGCTTCTTAATCCGATGACCTTAAACACTGTGTATAAATTTAAAGTCAATTGGATACGATTAAGGGTCATAACTCTGGCAGTAATTATCGGAAATCGCTGAAAATCATCAGGCTTTTTCATCTCACTAATGTTAACAACATATATCAATTTCAATCAGATGATAAATGTAGTCTGTAGAGTGTTCACAAGAAATTGTGGACGACGTACGGACGAGGCGACGGCAATATACGACCACATTCCCAATGTGGGCGTATAAAAACGAAATGAAATAAGATCTATTGTTTGATCAGATTGTACAGAAAACACACATTATAAATTATAACTAGCCTACCTTTGTTAATGTTGTGGGGCGAAGTAAAATACGTCTACAAATACCTAATCAATCTTTGGTAATCATGTCCAAACACTAATGTTTTGTTCACACATAATTCTATTACAAAAAGTCAACAAAACTGTCACGAAAAGGTGGGAGAAAGAGAACATTGCTATCAATAGGTGTACACCATGAATTCAGGGGAGGCAATCCAGCATTAGACTAGTAATCTTTGTAGAGAGAGAGAGAGAGAGAGAATGGGGTTTAACGTCCACTCGACACAAACCAGGTCATTTCGGGACTAACATATGGTTCAATTTTATTTTAATAATTCGCTTGCGCGTAGGAGTCTTTAGCAGTGGGAGGAAACCGGAGGACCCGGAGAAAACCGACAATCGAAACCACTCAGTTGACTCAATGACAGACCTTATGATACAACGCGCACACGCTAACCATTCGACCATCGAACTCCTTGTACGGGATTTGGTGATTTGTCATGATTTTGAGATGTACTTATAAATAACTATAGCCGTCTTGTTTATCTAAATACAATGACACGCCCTTTACTTACCCGTTGTCTGGGATAACCATATACCATCTGCCAGACCCCAACCACCCATTAGTAAGAAATAAACATAAAGCTTGGCAGGGTCGGGTTTCCATAGAGCCATAAACAATAACAATCCCAGGTTAACAACAGATGCTACAATACATAGAAAAAAAAACAATTTGTTAATCGTTAATTCTAAACCTCACCAGACCTGTAATATGAGAAATAAATATACTACACAAAACAGAGGCAGCAATATGTTTAATATGGTTCTTAATTACTCTCGTGTATATATGGATACAGGAACCTTGATGTTGAAAAAAAGGGTTTTTATTCTATCTATAATGAAAGACTGGGTTCCCATGTTTTTAAATGTATACATGAGTAATCACTCTATGTAATATTAAACAAAATAAACCTATTTGCTCCTGGATTTCATTAGTTATAAGAATAAGTACATATATTTATAAAAAAAAACACGGCATGGATTTGCTAGATGTTCAGATTCATAATTGTTGTATTTGTCGTGTCCAAAATAAAATGAAATTGTAATTAGCTTTCTTCATATAATTACAGAATATTTTTAAAATTTGTATTGTTTTTATTTATTCCATTGTTTACTTCATACAACAATAATTAAAGACAACAATTTAAAGACTTGTAAACAGTGTACTACATTTTATATATTATATTATATAATAACTGTTTTCAATTCTATAAATTATTGTCTAATGATCAACTTGTTAATGGAGTATCAGAAAAGCTGATCTTAAAAACTGACCATATTCCATGAACAAGCATTATAATTGAAAATAATTCTCATACACACCTCACACTAAAGACAGGGCTATGCGTAAAACTTACCTCAATGATAATATTTGACTTTACAATATGCTCGATATATTTACTTATTCAGTAATATATTTATATTATTATCACTACCGATATTCCCTGATTTTAAAAACCGTTCTTGATTCCATACACACATTTCATTCATTAACAATGCAAATAACCAAGTTCAAAAAATACCAATTACTTGCTAAAATATTCAGATGTATTAAAATATAGATAATTTAGTGATTTATTAGAATATGGATAATTTAGTGTTTTACTAGAATATCGATAATTTAGTGTTTTACTAGAATATGGATGTATTTTGCATTGTCAGTCAGATTCATACACACACCAAACATTATAAATATAGATATATATATGCAAATTCTTTCATTTTTATAGATCAATTTACTGTTCTTTGTTTTCGTTTTTGTAAAACTAACTTTATATAATTTTGAAATAACTGGTAAACCAAATATACTTGTCATTAAGATAAACAAATTAATAAAATGAATGAATGTGCTAATATAACATACAAGATACGAGGGCTGGATGAAAAGTTCTAAGCCTGAATAGGTTGGATCAATAGGGTTGAAACAAACTTTTGCCACCAACAAGTACAATCATAGAATGAATCATGTCAGCTGGGAACGACTTTCTTTTTGAGAGTGGCTGAAGAAAATTTCTTCCTGACCGGCATCCCGGCTTTGCAACATCGTTGGCAAAAGTGTGTACTCCTCGAAGGGGACTATGTAGAGTAATAAATGGAAACCATCGACTTTTTACATGCCTTTCACAGATAGGCTTAGAACTTTACTGTCGGCCCTCATAAATATAACCCTTATATTGAGGTTATTATATACATCAGGTTTGTTTTCAAAAGCCTCGAATGTTTCTCCCTAAATTTTAAAGTTTTAGATACACAAACCAATGAATGATCAAATATAATGAATTTGGAGAGGAGGCTTGCTGTATATTTTGAAAACACTTAATTCTGAACAATTAGCAAACCATACGAATCAGTTTTCAAACAATATTTTGAAATGCTATAAAAACATGAGTTGTTTCCCCTGTCTATATCCCAACCGTTAACCCTTTGTTGTGAATGGTGTCTTTAAACCTTGAATGTAATTTTTGTTAAAAAAAAAAGAATAGCTGCTTTTGTTAAGAGTAGTAGTTCTATAACTCTTACAAAGACTGGCTTCGTTTCATTTGGCCATAAACATGTGAACTTCAAACTCAGAGGGGTCACTGCAAACTACCTACCACTGCTGCACCAATGACCCCTCACGTATACTTACTGAATTCGTTAATACCAACCATTTAATGTGAAGTATTCTAGTAATTAAACAACAAATAATGATGTTTAATATCGTCTTGTTAACAGGTCAGAGTGAATGGCTACGTTCACACATAATAACACAAGGTCGGCTATTTTATATAGGGTGCAGGCGACTTCTCACACCATCTGGTACGCCTGCGATAAACATCGCCCTGTTAATCAAATATAATATTTGATCATGGTACTGAAAACACAAAATTGTAAGGAAATGAAAGCAAAATTAAACTGGCTAAGCACAAGGCTATCTGGTCATCCCCAACTTGACAGTGGTCAGTATTCTGTCCTCGATAGCTAAAAAATAAATATATACTTTATATCATAATTACGGTAAGTTTAACATAAAGAACTATAGACTATCAGGTAGCGTAACATACACCAACAGAAACCAAGCCGTCTGTGCAGCCGACAAAGGTTGTGCCGTATTTCAATTATGGACGTATAACAGCACAGTAAGTTTCTGATGATAACACAAAATGAAGGACAACACGTAATCAGCTAATAAATATTGCTGGTCCAAGTTATCGGAAATTGTTCATATTAACAACGTATCAATTTCAAACCAATCGGAAAATAATTTTAGCCACTAGAGGGAAAAATATTTTTTAAAAGGGAGCAAGGCCAATAAGTCCTAAAGTAATTCTATACTCCTATGGCTCATGAACATACCACTGTACCAATCAAATGATAAAATCAGATTTAAAATTTATCAAAGTGACCAAGGGCCATAACTCTAGTAGTAATTATCAGAAATCGCTGAAAGTCAATAGGAGTCTTCGTTTCATGACCTTAAATATTCTGTATAAATTTAGAGTAATTCTTCGTCTCATGTCCTTGATTACTGGGCATAAGTTTAATGTCAATCGGATGATAACTTTAAGAGCGACCACAAGCATTTGTGGATGACAGACGGGCGGGCGGGTGGGACGACAATATACTACCACATGTCAATGTGAGCGTATAAAACTAAAAGTAAACCTTGAAATTGTGTTCTGTGAGAACTGACAGTATTTACGTTCATCTAGTAACAAGACTATAAATTATAAAAACAAAACAAAAATAAATAAAACGAGAGAGAGAGAGAGAGAGAAATGGTGTTTAACGTCCACTCGACACAAACTAGGTCATCTCGGGACTAAAATATGGTTCAATTTCATTTAAATACCCGGAGAAAACCCACGAGGTTGGACAGGCCACCCTACTCCTTGTCACGTACAACCGGGTATCGAAACCACACCAGTTCACCCACTGACAGACCTTATGATACAACGCACACGCGCTAACCAGTCGGCCATCCAACCACCTTTAAAAAAAACGACATGCGTCCATATATTGTATAGTCTTTTAACTAAAACAATGATGGATAAATTACCATAGACATTATGGTGTTCCTATACTAGTTCATGTTCGTTGCTTTAATAATTGAAAATGCTGAATTATGTTGAATATAAAGTTACACAATTTAAAATAATATACATAAATAGAGATATGCAGAACATAGGAAATACCTACCAAAACAAAGTATCGCTGTTCTCCCAACTAATTTGTTTAGTGCTCCGGTTAAATAAGATCCTATGCTAGCACATACTCCTAGACATACCATAGTATAGCCCACCATATGAATACCCAATGGACACGTTACAAAGGCCTATAATAATAATAATAACAATAATAATAATACACTAGTAAGAAGAATGTTACTGAATTTCAAAGATTTCTTACGATATGCTCGTAACCTACAACCCACCACGTGAAAAGAAGATTGCTTCATTTCGTTCACATTCACAATTATTGTTTCCAACGGAACACGCATAAAAGAACGTACGTGTTTCTCGAGACAACAGCAATAATGTTATAAATCAATGCGCATTAAAATGGACATATTTTTAAAAAAAACCCACATGTTTGCTAGGAGATAAGCAGTACTGATGTAAATATGCACACAATTCTTAAACACTCCGGTGCTACATGTAGGGTACACGCGAATAACTATAACCTATGTGTGTGTGCATGGATGGGTGTATACATACCTTGAGCATGTCGGCGGTAGCAAATCCTACTTCCATAGAACTGTAGAGAAACAATGGCACCAGAAACAGGAACTGGGGGGTGATGAGAAATTTAAAAACTGCTTTGAGACGAGTGTCCACTATTTTGAATGTTAAAACCGATCGGCATACTATATCTTTGTTTAATGGTTCCAACCAAAAGGCAGTTACAACCACAGCAATTATCACAAATACTCCATATACACTGAATAAAATATACTTAGTCATATCTGTGACGGGAGTTTCAGCAGTCGGCATTTCATAGTAATGGCAGTGTGAGGAACCACACAGGTGGAGATGGCATGTGGAACTGACATTGTTATAATCACTAGACGTTACATTATTTACATCGTATGGATATGACGTATTTTGTACATTTATTGGTACGATTCCATCCACAGTTGTCGAGTCTTTGTTGGTCATGAGTACCACGGAAGCGATAAGATTACCAAAGATCATCGAGGCCTGCCAGAAAAAACATATTATTCCAAAATATTTGGAGGAAACTGAATCGAAGTCTTCTTGGTGTTTAACAGAATGTCCACGGGCTAAACATGTCACGTACGTGCTCATTGCATTCCACAATATAGCTAGAGAGAATCCCTGAAGACCTGAGGTAATCCCCATCAACCAGATATTAGGGTATATATTACAGATAATATATAATAATTGTGGAATTAAGCTGTACAAGAAACACTTTTTAGGTTGAACGTGCTGGACGATGACAGAGCTGAATATACTAACTACCATAAACATAACATTACTACAGATGAGTGAGATCATACCAACACCTCCTTCATGGTTAATGCTACTCTGAAGATTACGCACCGATCCAATAGCAATGTTCATAAAGGCCAAAGCAATACCAATTGCTAAAAGACTTCTCATGTATTTGTTGCTGGGTATAATATCTTCTGAATTGCATATTTTCTTTATCAGTTCATTATCTGGTGACGTACCATCGCTAATTATATCTTTATCACCAAATCCAGGAAACAGTAACGGTTGGGAAGATTTGTGGTCATTGAAAAACATGGAACCTGCATGATGTAATGCGCCAAATTTAGAGATATCCGGAACAGAATGGATAAGGGGGTCGATAAATTCTTGTTTATCATGGATTGTCTGAGTTTCTAGATCTAATGCTGTCATATCTAGTAGAGTTAAAATCTCACATTTAGAAGTCGTTTCTTTAATATGTGATTCATCATTTGCTACAGACACTTCATGGTGAGAATATGTTTCACTTTCATCGCTGATAGAGATGAGATATTTACTACTATCAACACTAGATACTGTATCCATATATTCAGTGTTGTCAAATGTATCCGATGGGATATCGCCTATGGAATCTTGACTGAGATTTTCCAATGGGATATCGCCTATAGAATCCTGACTGAGATTTTCCAATGGGATATAAGCTATGGAGGAATCTTGACTGAGATTTTCCAATGGGATATAGGCTATAGAAGAATCTTGACTGAGATTATCGCTACTAACTAGAATATTATCATTCCAATTGCCGTTTACGTTATCCTCATAATAAACGTCATCAGCAACATGATAATTGTCAACGTTGGTTAATGCGAATGTGAGATTCGGCTCCTTATAGTCATTGCTAATGTTACCATTCACCATGTCAACAGTATATAAACTTGATCCACATTGTTCTATGTTGATGTTCAGATGTTGGTTATCAAGACCATTGGTTATTATATTATCGTCAATTAGTTCACCTGAACATGGATATTCCTGTTGAATTGGGTTAGTCTGTTCATTTAATAGTATCATAGTTTCTTCTGATATTGTAGACGGGCTAATACCATGGGCTACTTGTAAATCATTAGGAGACAAGTATGATGTCATGTTTACGTCATCAGTAGAATATAATGACGTATATCCTGAACTAAATCCTGGATCAGGAGGCGGTAATATATGAGAATTTTGTTGAATACCAACATGTACCATTTGCTTAGGTTCACACTCTTCAGATTCTGTCTGTGTAACCATTTTGAAGATTTTCACCAATTAGTTATCACCTGTAAAAAATAACAAAACCTCTTATTTGTCTATCCCCAAGGCGCATTGCTAATATATGCCCCAAGTCTTCACAAAGCCCGAGTCCCTTTGAAGTCGCCAGTTCATCAAATGAGCCAGCAATTCATAGGGAATAAGGTAAGTTAGAGTTATGCCCCTTCGCCGCGGGTCATCGATGCGACTTAAGTGGGACTCAGTCCGAGTCACGGGACTCGAGTTTCCACCCCTGTATGCATGACAGCACCACAAAGGCAAAATTGGTATCAAATTACTGGACACTGTAAGATCGCGTGTCTCTCATATCAATGAATGGACAAAGATAGATTGTCAAGCAACGAAACATACGCCCACAGCAGTCAACATCGTCCGGAGTGTCAATAAAGATTTCGCATTCTGAATGGTTAGCGCGTGCGCGTTGTATCCTAAGGTCTGTCATTGGGTCAGCTAACGTGGTTTCGATTCTCATGTACGTGACAAGGAGTAGGGTTGCCTGTCCAACCTCGTGGGTTTTCTCCGGGGCCTCAGGTTTCCTCCCACTACTAAACATCCCTACACTCAAGCGAATTATTGAAGTAAAATTGAACCATATGTTAGTGACGAAATGACCTAGTTTGTGTCGAGTGGACGTTAAACCCCATCTCTCTCTATCTCCAATTACTGTGTTCACAAGATTCTACAAACTGAAACAAGGGCCGCAAGTCTATTAATTAAGGGAATTTAATGAAATTAAATAGATCAGTTAATCAGTTCACTTGATTTTGTACAGGGGCTATAAGTCTAGCAGTAACTAACGGATACTATTAAAATTCAATATGGTTCTTCCTTTCACTAATTTGAATAAATCTCGTAACCTTTAAACATGGGATGATAACTTTTGTCGTTTGAGCTTTAAAAACATTAGAAGTAATGAACGAAAATTGTTAAATAGGATTCCTCATCTGACTAAACTTTCAAAACTTTAACAATAACGAACGAAAATCGTTAAAATAGGATTCTTCATCTGATTAGTTTGGATAAATCTCGTAACCTTTAAAGATAGGTTGCCAGGCAACGAAACATACGCCCACATCAGCTATATCGTCCGGGCAGTCAACAGGAGTTGTCGCATATTTTTACTTTTTTCGGTAATGAAACATTTATAATACATTAAAATCTGATTAAGAGTAACAACTCATTAAGTAATTATCAGAAAACCATTAGAATTTGTTTGGTTTTTATAAAGTTCTGCCCCATTCTAACGTTTAGTATACGAAACTTTTAACATCGTGGATTTAGCTGTTCAAGTCATAAAGATTCATTGAAAATCAATATACTTGTTCGTCTCAAGACCTTAAACTCTGTGTATCAATCTGAAGTCAATCGGATGATAACTTTAGCCTCTAGAGCGTCACAAGATTTTTCTAAGTGATCAAGGGCCATAACTCTGGCAGTAATTATCCGAAATCGTTGAAAATCAATATGAGTCTTCATCTCATGGCCTCAAACACTCAATCGGATATTAACTTTAGCCTCTAGAGCGTCCACAAGATTTTTCAAAGTGATCAAGGTCCATAACTCTGGCAGTAATTATCGGAAATCGCTGAAAATCAATAGGATTCTTCGTCTCATTACCTTAAATACTGTGTATAAATTTAAAGTCAATCGGATATTGACTTTGACCTCTAGAGCGTTCACAAGCAATTGTGGACGCCGGACGGACGGACGGGGCGACAAAAATATACGACCACAATTCAATGTGGGCGTATAAAAATCGGATGATAACTTCTGTCGTTTGAGCTTTAAAAACTTTAACAGTAATGAAAGAAAATCGTTAAATAGGATTCTTCATCTGACTAATTTGGATAATACACATATATTTAATAGAGATCGGCTGATAACTTTTGTCTCTAGAGCGTGCACAAGATACTACAGATGAAAGACGGGACCATAATCAACTAACGGAAATTGGCAGAATTCAATTGGCTTCTTCGTTTAACTAATTTATATAATGCATAAACTTATGATACAAATCTCACACTTGTGTCGCTAATAGCCTGCACAAGATTCTACCAAGTGAAACAAGGGCCATAAATCTACAGGTGATTAACGAAAATTGCTGGAATTCAAGAGGCTCAAAAATATAAGCAACGAATATACCTTTTTAAACGATCGAATGAATGTAGTTTGTAGAGGGTCAAATTCACAAATTGTGAATCCCGCGACATGGGCCTAACTATGAATTTTATGACCAGAGGACAATATAAGATCGGTTGTCAGACCGTGAAATTAGTTGAAATTGTTGAACTCCATCAGACATCTGATTTGAACAACGCACTTTAATTACATACAGATCAGATGACAACTTTTGTTCCTACAATAGTCAAAGGGTCATTCAAGAAGTAACAAGCCAACAGTGAAGCTGATGTCCCGCGCCGAAATACCAAAATAAATAGATCACACATATTAATTAATCGCACATTTATTTTTTTCAAAAGTATCAAGAAATCAAACAGATTATCAACTATACACCAAGTTTCATCACTCTCTATCAGATAGAATCAAAGTTATCTCTGTTTAGCTTTAGCTCGAAATGTTGATCATTGAACTCAGTCTTGACATTCACCTAATGAACATCTACATCAAGTTTAAACATTCTAACTCAATTAAAAGCAGAGTTCTTATGTTCCAAAGCCTCGACCAATCAAATTGCTTATCGATCTTTAGCCTAAGCAGAAAATTCTCATCATGAAACTTGGTCAATGTAATGATATAATGAATCTATACTCGGAGTTTCACCACTCTCACTTAATTAAAACCAAAGTTATTGACCCCAAAGCATCAACCAATCAGATTGCTTATCTCTGCTTACCCTACGCAGACAATGTTTATCATCGAACTCCATCAAGGCATTCATCTAATGAACGACTACACCAAGTTTGAACATTCTACCTCATCTAGAAGGAGAGTTATTGTGTTCCAAAGTCTCGACCAATCAAATTGCTTATCGCTCTGCTTTCCCTAAGCAGAAAATGCTTATCATGGAACTTAGTGACGGTATTGATGTGATAAAACTATACACCAAGTGTCCTCACTCTCACTTAATTAGAACTAAAGTTATCGTGCCCCTAAGCATCAACCCATCAAATTGCTTATCTCTGCTTACCCTAAGCAGAAAATTCTCATCTTCGAACTCCATCAAGGCATTCACCTTATAAATACCTACGCCAAGTGTGAACATTCTAGCTCAATTAGAATGAGAGTTATTATGTTCCAAAGTCTCGACCAATCAAATTGCCCATCGCTATGCTTACCCTGAGCAGACAATACTCATTAACGAACTTAGTCAAGGTATTGATGTAATAAAACTGTATACCAAATTTCATCACTCTCACTTAATTAGAACTAAAGTTATCGTGCCCCAAAGCATCAAAAAATCAAATTGCTTATCTCTGCTTACCCTAAGCAGAAAATGCTCATCTTCGAACTCCATCAAGGCATTCGCCTAATAAAACACCTACACCACGTTTGAACATTCTAGCTCAATAAGAAGGAGAGTTATTGTGTCCCAAAAAGGGTGACGGACAGACAGACAGACAGACGGACGGACAGACCGACGGACGAACCCATTTTAATAGTCCTCTGCTTTCTTTGAAAGGCGGGGGACAATTAACGGAAATGCAATAGGCGTCTTCAATTCAAAGCAGATCGCGTGTTAAAAAGGTATTATGCAAGACCTAAATCTTCATAAGTCTTTATTCGTGGCTTCAGCAGCGTCGGATCCAAAAGGGCACCCCCCCCCCCTCCTTCCCTTCCCAGCTACATAAAGAAAAGTGTATAAAAACACGTTTTATGAGAAGACAAGTGTCACGGTCGTGTGCTTTATCCTTTATAATCAGATGGTTGGATGAGATGGGCATTCAAAGCGCGAGATAATGATATAGACATATGCGGTATCACAATTATTGCTTTGCATCAATGAATTTGGATGACATTGTGATCGTATTAATTCATAATAAAAATTGAGGTCAACTCGGGGTGTTGGATTTCTCTCTTTAAAAAGCTCAATGTGTATGTATGCCTACGTAATTTGGAGACGATGATGGCATCAACAGTCAACAGTCAAATTTCATTAAAAGGACCCTGGTAAACCACATCCTGCAACAATTCCAGACTGGGGGCGCGGTGGGGTGCAAGAAAGCAGGGAAATGATTACCATTCTTGTTAAAATTCAATAGAATATGTCGTTTGACTACGCTGAACACTGACTATAAATTTCAAGCAAATCAGATTATAATGTTGGTTGCCAGGGGGCACTTGCTCGGTTTTTACGAAGAGAGAGGTGGCCATCTGCAAACAGCATAATATAAAATTTTGAATAGATTAGATGATAAGCGTAGTCCGTAGACGAATGGCGGATGGGCGACCATATACCACCACATTTCCATATAGGACGTACAGATGGACCGCATTACACTTACACAAGACAAACCCTTCGACACGACACAATATACAGACCTTTCAAACAAACATGGGTTATTCGAAAGCGTCCAATGCGCTATACAGTGAGCATATAAAAAAAGCAAACCAGCGGCTGCCAGGCAGGATACGCCCACATTTTGCAAGAGATGGACAGAGAACAAACTAAACAAAGGTATGTTGCCAGGCAACGAAACATACGCCCACAGTAGCTAAATCGTCCGGGCATACAACACGTGTTGTCGCATATTTTTACTTTTTTTTGGTAATGAAAAATTTATAATACACTAAAATCTGATTAAGAGTAACAACTCATAAAGTAATTATCAATCTTAAGTCAATCGGATGATAACTATAGCCTCTAGAGCGTCACAAGATTTTTCAAAGTGATCAAGGGCCATAACTTTGGCAGTAATTATCGCAAATTGCTGAAAATCAATAGGATTCTTCGTCTCATGACCTTAAACACTGTGTATAAATTCAAAGTCAATCGGATATTAACTTCAGCCTATAGGGCGTCCACAAGCAATTGTGGACGCCGGACGGACCGACGGCCGAACGGGGGCGACGACAATATACGGCCACATTTCAATGTGGGCGTATAAAAAGCTATTCTCGTAACATCAAGGGCCATAATTCAGGAAGGTACGATCAGATATGCGCAAATATCGACAAGAACCAAGATCTTTCGGTTATAAACATGCATTTTAAGTTTCATTAAAATCAGATCAAAATTGTGATCTCTAGGGGGGCCACAACCTTGATATACCAAATGCTTACACCATTTGCGCAGAGAGGCGGCCATTTTGTCCGGTAGTCTTCGTCCGATTTTCACGAAATTTGACTTCTTGCGGACCACAAGCTAAAAACGCGATTTGTCGTACAATCAGGGGCCATAATTCAGGAAGTTACGATCCGATATGCGAGACTATCGACAGGAACCAAGATCGTTGGGTTATAAACATGCATGCCAAGTTTCATCAACATTCGGTGAAAATTGTGACCTCTAGAGATTCCACAACTTTGATATACCATATTTTTACACTATTAGCGTACGAGAGGCGGCCATCTTGTCCCGCAGTTTTGGTCCGATGTTCACGAAATTCGAACTCAACCATCATTAGGGTGTAACGGGGATATATTCAAACGGTTTTTTTTAAACTGGATAAAAACTGTTACCTCTAGAGGGACCACAGGCTTAATTTTCATACGATCAAGATCCATAATTGAGGAAGTTACGATCCAATATGCGCGAATATCGAAAGGAACCAAGATCTTTGGGATATACGCATAAATTCAAGGTTGCATCAAAATCGGAAAAAAGATTATGGCCTCTAGAGGGTCTACAACCTTGATATACCACATATTTACACCATTTGCGTTATACGAGGGGTGGCCATTTGGTCCCTCAGTTTTGGTCCGATTTTCACGACAACGGTTATATATCCACACGGTTTTTTAAATCGGATAATAATTGTGACCTCTAGAGGGACATCAAGCTAAAAACTCAATTTTTCGTACAGTCAAGGGCAATAATTCAGGCAGTTACGATCCGATATGCGCAAATATCGACCGGAACTAAGATCTTTGGGGTTATAAACATGTATTTCAAGTTTCATCAAAATCGGATCAAAATTGTGAGCTCTACCATATTTTTACACTCTCTGCGTACGAGGGGCGGCCATTTTGTCCGGTAGTTTTCGTCCGATTTTCACGAAATTCGAACTCAACCGTAATTAAGGTGTAACGGTGATATATTCAAACGGTTATTTTAAGTCGAAATAAAATTGTGACCTCCATAGGGTCCACAAGCTAAAAAAACGTGATTTTGCGTACAATCAGGGGCCATAATTCAGGAAATTACGGTCCGATATGCGCGAATATCGAAAGGAACCACGATCTTTGGGTTATAACCTTATATTTTAAATTTCAACAAAATCAGATAAAAATTGTGACCTCTCTAGGGTCCACAAGCTAAAAACGCGATTTTTCGTACAATCAGGGGCCATAATCCATGAAGTTCCGGTCCGATACATGCCAATATCGAAAGGAACTGATAAACCTATATTTCAAGTTTCGTTCAAATCGGAAAAAATTGTGACCTGTAGAGTGTCCACAAACAACTGTAGACGGAAAGGGGTGACGCAAAATACGTCTACATGAAAATGTGGGTGTATAAAAACCTTTACACTGTATAACATAACTGGCGCGTTAACACTACTCTATTGCGTGTTTGCCGATCACGCACCGTCGCCGCGATCCACCCCATCATATGTGGTAACAAATTAACCAGTATGACACCGTCAATGTTTGAGATCATCGAATTTGGGCCACGAGCGTATTTAACGCTTCGTTAGCGCGCTCCACGCCCCAAATATGTGATATCTAAATAACTAACAGGACTCTGTTAAAGGGACCATCCCGATTTTAACAGAGTATTAGAAATGAAATTTAAGCGCCAAAATATAGAGGAATAAAATATTTACCTTAATTGTCTCAAAATTTCAGAAATGAAATTTAAGCGCCAAAATATAGAGGGGTGATGTATCTACCTTGTCTCAAAATTTCAGCTCAAAATATTGAGTCGTTTGGACGTGAACGTCAAAACCGTTTATCCGGTTTCTCTGATCATTCCTTTTCATTGGGTGACCTGATAATCTATTGCCGTTCCTTTACAGGTCTATACAGTGCATAACCCACGTTCTGTACTTGATAACGAAAGGTAAATTCCACCTACACGTTATTTTTATAAAATAAAATCTGGTTTTATCCAGACACCATATAATACAGCTTGGGACACCGGTCTACATTCCTGAGGAAGACTGACGGGTTTAATTTGTTTGATGACGTATCATATATATATATATATTGAGTTAGTTGCTCGGCCCTAAGGTAGAGGATTTTAAGGGCTTTTAACACATAATTAAGCAGTTTTATTCTCCACAATATAATCAAGATTGGCCCTTTTAGGCCATCGAATTTTGGCACAGGGCGACTTTGTTCCCCGCACGGATTTGGGCCACGGGCGAATTATACCCCTGTCGAAATTGAGCCGGGTATCCTAGTTAAAACACATGCGTCTTACTGATCCTGACCCTGTTAATGTTTCAGGCCATCGAATTTGGGTCCCGTAAAAATTTCTTCCCCGGACGAATTTGGGCCACGGGCGAATTATGTCCCTGTAGAAATTGGGCCCTGGGCGAAGCCGTATATTAGTTAAAACGCCTGAGTCTCACTAAATAATCCACTTAATACAGATGACAAAATTCTAGGGCAATATCTGACATATCGATTCCTTATTGTAAACAACAACAAATGAATAATTTAAACACGATCGAATGATCTATAGAAATTTCACCCGAAATGGTGGACAACGGACAGACAGGGGTGACGGGAAATATACGACTACATTCCTGAGAATACAATACGCGGAACAATAACCTTAATCCACGACCAGTGACTTATCACAGTTAGAAATGATAAAATAAATTACCTAGCTGTCTTAAACCATGGCACAACACCAGCTAAAACCAGTTTTATCCTGCTAGTGGTCTGTTCAATGTATCAAACTGGTATTCATCGTCTGCTTTTATCCAGTTAAGCTAGCCATGTATGGAATGTTTCATTTTAATACCTTGAACATCGAGATTTATTAAAATTATTTAGGAAATGGCATAAGAAAAAGTATAACTTACATTGACGGTGAAGTTGTTCTTGATTTAATCTCCGTTAACCTCTTTGTTCTTCGTAGCAAATGTCATCTAAAATTACGGGGTCGATGTAAATGGAAGAGAAAAGATGAATCAGGCTGTGAGATTTTATTAAATTAGATTATATGGAAATGTTTTCTGTTGCATTGATAAACAAAACGGAGTTTAAAACACATATTTGTATTCCAAATAAGATTTATAATTAATATATATGCTTTAACAGTTACGTTTTTGTTTAACAGTAAACATCTAACCTACCCAACGACCCAATAATGGACTCTTCCATTTGAGGTTATTTGCATTGGTCCACTGAAAGAACACATACCATATGACGTCGATGAGCGCGTGCGTCTATTTATGTTGACTGGGAAATTGATCAGCAATCGATATGTTACGGTTCAAGTTGCCCTGAGCATGTATCGAGCTGGTTTATATATAGAACATTTAGTAGTTTCGAGAGGATGTAAGATTATTTCAATTTAAACAAGGCGATCCCCTGCATAGTTTGTCGCTTGATGTCGAGTATTTTGTGGGTCCTCTCGTAGTTTTAGAGTTAGATGTGAGTTATTAAGGATTGAAAGTGAAATGAAATGAAATGGGGTTTAACGTCCTACTGTTCTGTGCCGACTTGGCTAATGAAGACAAGCATACGCCATACAGTGTGCTATGAGGGAAACTGCCCGGGCAGCGACACTATGGCCAAGGATCTTTTACGTGCACGCCAATGCAATTTAAAGGATTGGATTTCAAATAATTATCTTAACCCATTCAAGAGCGTATGACTGTATTTTTTTAAACCTTAACAATAACGCGACGGCTTTGTTTATTAAACGTTAAAAGATCATAATATCAAGTTTATTACTTCTTAATAAAATGTCCTTTCTCTTGATTATCTGTAAAACGACGATGGGTGAACAAAATAAAGCACAAAACTTACGTCAAATCTGTATGCTGACTATATTATACAGCGTGCTTGATTAACTTATTACATCACTTTCGGTTTTACTAAAAATTATTTCCTCGCTTACAGGAAATTATTCCTGGTCCAAAAATAAAAATGACGTCACCTGGCGCCATATTATATGATGACAGAGATGTGTAATAGTCGTACGAAGGCCCATTAATGCCAAATAAAAAATAATTTTAATCCGTTTGAACGAGTTCGTATCTCGTTTGAACGAATTAATTATCTCGTTTACTAACGGTCTGTTTATAACGCTAAGTGAAAGATGAAATTTGTTTTGATTATTACCGACTAATTTGTTGTCATGTCGTGTGGCTTAGTGACATTGCAAACTAGCGACTTTCACTCGGCAAACCCCAGCAGATTCCAATACCCTACATCTAGCCTCGGCTGTACGTCGAAGTGAAGTCCGCCATATTACCAACGGCGTCGCCCATGACGACGCCTTTGAAGAATGTTTTATCATACAAAGATTTCAAAGTTTTTCTTTCAAGTTTATCCGATTTTCTTGAGACAAGTGCAAGTTTGCACTGAAAATTCTACACACTCTTCGAACGATGTAATTGTGAGAACGTCTTTCTAAAAGCGGCAAGTTTTCCTAATAAGTAAACTGGTGCCGCATCGCAATTGTATAGGCGTAGGTACATCGTCATAGAGCCGAGGGTAGGGTGCCAGAATCCGCCGAGGTTTGCCGAGTGTAGCGACTTTGCGTAACGGCATTCACCAGACGACCTCCATTAAGACTAGTCGTATTTTTGTTCGATTGCCTCCTTGTATTCAGTATGAGATTTACCTGTTATGCCCTAATTGTATAATTAAAACACTTGTGGTCTGATCACTATTTTTACTACTCCACGGGCTATTTAGTTTTACGTGGCTGTTTCGTATTTCACAATGGTAACTTGCTTTATTGTAAACGTATATCAAATACTAATATTAGTGTGACAGTCTTTAGATAGCTCGACCTGGGGTCACTGCTCAAAATCTAGCACGTGTCCTGGATATAATTCATCCTGTATCGACTGTTGACCCCAATACGTCACAGACGACTGTCTACAACCCTGTTGATCAAAGATACCGGGACAACACGTCATACTGAGAGAAATTTGTCCCAGACAGCGGCGCTACGGTCTACTCTTATATCCAATTACAACGTGGCTCTTATACAAACCGGAAAATTGTTCGAGAACTATACAATATGCTGATAGTTGACGGCCAGTGTTTCGATAATTTCAAAATACACATACTCATGACAATGCCCTCGTTCATGTCATCATATTCATATTACCCCCCATGACATCATATTCATATTACCCTCCATGTCATCATATTCATAGTACCCCCCATGACAATATTGTACCCCCATTTTCCCACTGCCCCTCTCTTGTTAAAAACAGATCTAGCGAAAATAATAAACACCTATCGCGCTAAATGCACGTACATGCACCATTGATTTATAATAATAATAATAATAATATGTACATTTATATGGCGCTAGTAATCCATGCACAGAGGCATGCTCACAGCGCATACAGTTAATTAATTCGATTAATCATGATAACATTTCTCAAAAAGATGGGTTTTAAGTCTTGATTTAAAACAAGAGAGAGTTGAAGATGATTTAATGATTTCTGGTAGATTGTTCCACTCTTTAGGTGCATTAACTGCGAATGATCTATATCCGAATGATTTTAGCTTCCACCTTGGGCAACACAACTGATGAAGTCTGTTTGATCGGAGGTTACGTGAGGGAACATGTATTTGCATAAGGTCGGATAAGTATTTTGGAGCTAAGCTATTTACACACTGATAAGTCAAGGACAGGATTTTGAAGATGATTCTTTCATTTATTGGCAGCCAGTGGAGTGATTTCAGAACAGGAGTTATATGAGAGTATTTTGATGATCTGGTAACAATTCGAGCTGCAGTATTTTGTATAAGTTGAAGTTTTTTAATATTGGCAGTAGATGTTTCTGCTAACAAGCTGTTACAGTAGTCAATCCTTGAGAAAACCAGAGAACACACAAGTGTGACAGCTGCTTCCTGGCTAATCAAGTGTCTTATATGGCTAATGTTTCTGAGCTGAAAATAGCATTTTCGACAAATTTCGCGAATGTGACTGTCCATGCTTAGATTAGGCTCTAAGAGGACACCTAAGTTCTTCACAGTGTCTGATGGTGCAATTATTGCATCACCTAAAACCACACCATTTGAACCTGGATTTTTCAGACGAGTATTTGGACCAAAGAAGATACATTCTGTTTTACTGTCATTCAATTTCAACATGTTTCTTGTCATCCAGTCTTTAATGTCACGTGTACACAATTTGATGTCAGAAAAATTTTGAGATGGAACAGTTTTTGAAATGAAGTAATTTCCAGTCAGCTGTGTGTCATCTGAATAAGAGATGGTGGAGAAGGCCTGGATGTGTGTTGTGATGTATATGTAGTTTCATTCCTTACTGATTTAATCAAGTCATCTCGGATTTTATCAATCTTCCCTTTGAAAAAACTTGCAAAGTCATTTGCCAGGGTGGTATAATCCTGAGCTGCTGGAAGTGGGGACGATATCCTTTGTCCTAATAAATCAAACAGATGAGTGAATAAAGCCTTAGAATTTCCGGAATTTGTTAAGATTTGGTTATTGTAATAATGGGTTTTCACCTGTCGGAGTTTATTGTTCACATCTGATCTGGCTTGACAGAAAATTTGTCTGTGTACTTCAAATCTTGTCTTCCGCCATCTTCGCTCAGCTACCCGACGCTTACCTTTCAATACAGCAATTTCATCAGTGTACCACGGGGCATGGGATTTGACACGAACAACTTTGGATATACATGGAGCGTGTTTGTCCAAAAGGGAGGTAAGGGTTGAATTGTACAGGTCAACGAGTTCGTCAACCTTTTCAGGTGTATTTTTAAAGAGGCTTGAATCTAACAAATCCTTTTCAAAATCTGTCTTTGAGATACACTTAATGTTTCTGCAATCTATCACCTGCTTTGGGTTTGGTGGTTTACAACAGTTCAAAGATATTTTGATCATAAAATGATCAGACATTTGATGATCTTTAACAGAGACTGACTGAACTACTGAATCAGATTGTCGAGAAACAACCCAGTCAATGATGTGTCCATTTTTATGAGTGGCTGTGTTTACGTGCTGGATAAGCTTATGAGTATTTAAAAGACTAAGAATCTTTTTGACATATGGTTGATGCTGTTCATCATACTGGGTATTCAAATCACCCAGAAGGAGCAGTTTCCCCTTTTTGACACTTAAGGAACCTAGAAATGTAGATAAATCGTCATGGAATTGACCACATGTCAGTTTGTTTGTTCTTGATGGAGGGGGCCTATAGATACAAACAGCCCGAGTGGATGTTTTGCAATGCTTGATTAATGTCTCAATATATTCAAATGAGGAGTACTTAACATGTTTCGGGGGGTTTAGAATCTCAACATTCAGCTGGTATTTATAGATAACAGCGACTCCACCACCTACTGATGTATTCCTGAGAACATGCTTGAACGTATAGCCTGGTGGGGTTAATTCAGCTATTTTAGCCTCATCGCCGTTTGACCGTAACCAAGTCTCTGTTAGATACAGAATATCAATTTGATTTTCAATGATAAAGTCGAAAATTTCAAGAGTCTTGTTACGGCAGGAACATGAGTTCCAGAGAAATAAATTCAGTTGAGATGACTTATGCTGCGGATAGACTTCTACAAGGTTTCTTATATTGGTGCCTGTGGAAGGGTGTTGACAGATTTTGTTTTCAGAGTTTAATGTTGCATGTACCTTAATAGGAAAGATACCCTGATCATAGTTCACCTTAAGCTTTCCTCCCCGACTTCTTCGACCACTGCGAAAAATTCCAAGATGTTTCAGAAAGTTAACCTCTAAATTTTCACAAAGTCTTTTACCAAAGTTTTTAATTGAAAAAAGTTTTTCCCTTGAATAAGTGTACA